TGTCTACCTTTATGTCTACCTTTATGTCTGCCTTTATGTATACCTTTATGTCTACCTTTATGTCTGCCTTTATGTCTACCTTTATGTCTATCTTTATGTCTACTTTTATGTCTACCTTTATGTTCCACCTTTATGTCTACCTTTTCGTCTATCTTTATGTCTACCTTTATGTCTACCTTTGCGTCTACCTTTACGTCTACCTTTATGTCTATCTTTATGTCTACCTTCGTGTCCACCTTTATGTCTACCTTTTCGTCTACCTTTATGTCTATCTTTATGTCTACCTTTATGTCTACCTTTATGTCTGCCTTTATGTCTACCTTTATGTCTACCTTTATGTCTATCTTTATGTCTACCTTTATGTGTACCTTTATGTCTGCCTTTATGTCTACCTTTATGTCTACCTTTGTGTCTACCTTTATGTTTATCTTTGTCTATCTTATGTCTACCTGTCCATCTTAATATTCTTCCAAGAAACCACTGCGCAAATATTGATCACGATATGCGGTCTCACGAAAACTTTTAAAAAATAAATTGAGATGAAGGAAATTTGATAGTGCACACATATGGTGTAATTGCCTTTAACAAGGTGTGTTGAAAAACATGATTGATGGGAAACTTCAATTCTTCTTTGGGATCATATTAAATTTTAATAACATTTTACTTTTGAGAACGGAGAGGTAATCTTTGAAATGCAACAATGATTTTCAGATTAAACAGTCAAATGCTCACGAAAAATGTAACATGAGAGCTGATGCTGTAGCTAGATGAGTTTTACGACATATTCGAGATTCAATCATTTTTATTCAATACTTTTCTCAAACACGGTCACTAACAGTTCTTTATATGCCTTTTGTGTGTCTCTTACCATGATACTAAAAGATACAGTTAGGTGTTCCTCTGTTGCCCTTATATTAAAATCATCAAATTATACACATTGTACGGCCTTCGGTGTTTTTACTGTTAAAGACGTTGACAGAGTTGACTCAGTTAACTAAGTTTCTCAAGGAAAGGAATTTTAAGTTGAGATACGTGCTAGATAACTCTGTTTAGCAATGCCATCAATTATAAAAAAATTCTTTTATTACTTACCGGTTTCAACTCAACATTAACTTTATCTCATGGGTGAAAGGAGTAGCGTAACTTTACCTAACATCTTCACAAGAGTTGCGCTCTCTCTTTATAGAAAGGAATCGGCATCTTCATGGGTAAAAAAATTTCCACAAATACAATATCATAATCCTTACGCATAATTCAAACACAAATCTATTGATTCGTGTTAGTAAACAGAAGTTTGGAAATTGGATCCAAATAGCAATTTTTTATTGTAATGTCAAAAACGTTCAGATCGCGCATGCATTGTGGTCATAAACATAAAGTTTGAGTTGAAAAACTCTTAGATTACCATCGGTAATTTATTTAACGCTTTCAAATAAATAACAAAGGCTGACACAGCTAAATTGTTAACTGTTTTGTTCTTTATTTAACCTATCATTTCTAGTGCATTAAGGAACGTGGCATCAAAGATTTCAGAGTCTTGTTGACAACAAATGAAGATATCATACAAATGCCAGCTTTCCATGCGAACGCTAATATTGGCGTGGATCGACGCAAGTCACGACAATGGATCTAAACAACATTTACAACAACCTACTTTATTTCGTGTTCATGCATTTAGCAGGATACCCTTATGTACGCGCGTACCTATTTTTTAGTAAATAAAGTCCATAATCCAAATCCTTCCATAATCCTTAATCTGAATAAAAACAAAGATAAAGTTTTAACAGTTTAAAGTTCAAAAACACGCATCGATATTTACCAAAAATTATTGGAAAATTTCCTCTGCTTGTCCAGTCTAACCATGACGAGAAGGTTCGACGCAGTGATTTTTGGAGCTAGTGGATTTACAGGACAGTTTGTTGTGCAAGAGTTTGCCAAACAAAACAAGAAAAGTCTTCGCTGGGCCGTGGCTGGAAGGAACAAAGATAAACTGCAAAATGTACTCAACGAAACAACGAAAGTTTTAGGTTATAGATCTTTTATTGCTACTAGCTAGATATAATGTTGTGATTTATTTTCTTATTTTATGGTTTGAGTGAAAAATTATAAAACTGCCAACGTTTAAGTTTTCATTTTATTTGTGGATTTTGTTCAAGTAAAATCTAAAATGTAATCACATTACTTTCACAGACTAGCGATGTAAACACTATGATATATGGTGTTGCAAGAATATATACAATAAGATTTATTATAAAAAAAATGGTTATCATTTTGAATTGCGATGATTGCAAGCTACCTTTTAAATTTTGTAGAAATGTGTTTAGTCATATGACCTAGCCTGTAATAAGCATGTGAGTTGAGTATGGTAATAGACAATTGATCTTTGTTGACTTTTATAATACTGAATCTTTTTGTTTAGCTTACAAATCAACAAATTCCTTTCTTTAAAATATCAGGATACAGCATTATAACTGATTCATAATTATTCTTCATACTAATGTTAACAGTCAACCATCTAAACTAAGTGTTATATTATCCATACAATTATATCCTTTTGTGTCAACACTTTATATCTGTAGTTGGTGTTTCCATGTAGGTGATGATTATTCTGGCATAGATATTCTTATTGCTGATGTGAATGATGAAGAATCATTGATGTTGATGTGCTCACAAGCTCATTTAGTCTTGAATTGTGTAGGACCTGTAAGTTGATGAAATACCCTAATATCCTAATCTTTTAAGATGTTTCAGGTGGTTTACTGTAATATTTTAAATGCCTGTTTCGAGAAGCATTTTTCACAATTTCTTCTACAATTAGCAAGCCAATTTTCAGTGATAATCTTTCACGATATTCAAATGATGTTCATTTCCTTGATATTTCAGAGTAGGCTTCTTAAATTCGTAATTTTGTGACAAGACTTTATTTTGTGTAGTATCGATTTTTTGGTGAGCCTGTTGTGAAAGCATGTGTTGAAAATGATTGTCATCATATTGACGTCAGTGGTGAACCAGAGGTATAGAAAAATTATTATCACAATATTTATATTGATGTCAGTGGTGAACCAGAGGTATAGAAAAATGATTATCAAATATTTATATATACCGGTATCATGTGAATAAATGAAATTTGAACCTCAGACAATGACAGCTTTCTTGCTATGATTAGGTCTTGTCATTATTGCAAAATTGACCAGTTTCAACCCCTATTTAAATGTTCAACTTTAATTGTCATACTTTACCAAATTCTCAGAAAATATGAGTCTGTGATTCCATATTTAGTTTCTAGAAACAATGCAATATAAATATGATGAAAAAGCTAGAGAATCAAAGATATTTGTGATTGGTACTTGTGGTTTTGACAGCATCCCTGCAGACATGGGAATAATTTATGCACAAAAACATTTCCCAGGTATAAGAATATTACATGAATATAATTAATTGGCAATCATAATGATCATATTATAAAAATCTTCAATGCACCCCCAGCAAATCTTAATTTTATATGTAATGCTTTCAAAATGCTTCTTGGTCACAACAGAGGAAATGTAGGGTTGAATGTGGCATAAAATGTATCTATCAAATTTTAATTATTAGGTCAATTGTGTCATGTTGAAAGTTTTCTCACAGTCAGTGCTGGAGACAAGGTATGACTACTGCTAATTCTATTCATATGGTATTGTAATCAAAAGAATGATGCCATGAGACGAAATATTGGTTTGCTCACATGAGAGTAACATTACTGTGTAGGGTATGAGTGGACATTTTGGTACATATCAATCTATCATTTACGGAATCGCGAGTGAGAGAGAAGGCAACCTGAAGAAATTGAGAAAGCAACTTTTCACAACTCCAATGCCGAGGGTTGGTCCCAAATTAAAAATGAGGTGAGTAAGAGGACATTATATAGGAAAGTGAAATAGTCTTGCATGATTGCTGAAGGTTTGATTGGGATAAGCAGCGATAACCTTTACACAACCACCAAATGTGCATGTGCATTAAACAAATCAACGGCGCGAACTTAATCACGAGAAGCTTAGTTTTCTCAATTAGACAAATTTCCACGTCTATAACCAGTGAAAGTGGCGATGTTATCAGTTGTTTCCGACAACAAAAGCGTTATTCCACAGGTTCTTGAAGGCGTTATTCCCGTGCGTTTGCTGCAACAGTCGTTCAGTGATAGTTTTTCATAAATACTGTTTGAAAATGTTATATTTTTCTTTCACTTGTAGAGGTTCTGTGTTTTATGGCAAAGAGTTGCAAAATGGTCCTTACCATTCCTTGGAGCGGATCCTTCCGTTGTACGACGAACACAACGCTACAGAAATGATGAGTTGAAGAAAGCACCTTTACAATACGCGGCCTACTTTACTATGCCATCTCTCGTCTATGTTGTCTTGTTGTTTTTCTTTGGCCTTGTTTTTTTCATACTAGCATCTTTTCAAAGTGGTCGAAAACTTTTGGAAAAGGTGAAGAAAATTTCCCGGCTTCGTAGTTTTAGAGTGATTTGAGATCCTTTCGAATAAAAATCTACACTGCACTGTTCACCTTTATAAACAAAGAAAAAGATTTTCACAGGAAGCTGTTTATGCAATCACTTTTCCGACCAGATTCTTTCAAGTGATCTTTAATTCTTTGCTGTCGTCTGAATATTTCAAAATTTTACAGATTTCTCTCGCATTTTGTTGTAAACCTTGAAAACTTTTAATTGAAGCAATGTAAAGCTTCCTGTAATGAAGCATTGTAAAGCTTTCTGTATTGAAGCAATGTAAAGCTTCCTGTACTGAAGCAATATAAAGCTTCCTGTATTGAAGCAATGTAAAGCTTCCTGTATTGAAGCAATGTAAAGCTTCCTGTATTGAAGCAATGTAAAGCTTCCTGTATTGAAGCAATGTAAAGCTTCCTGTATTGAAGCAATGTAAAGCTTCCTGTATTGAAGCAATGTAAAGCTTCCTGTATTGAAGCAATGTAAAGCTTCCTGTTACAATACCAGGCTACATACTGCAACAAGTTTCATTGTGTTGCAAGTTTTCTTCTTCATGGGCCTCACACCTCTTAGTCATCGCGGCCTTACCACAGCCAATCATCTCCTTTCATCTGTCCAGGCAAATTTACCATACAATTCATCCATACACTTCTTTGGTAATCATAGATATCTCATCTGGCACTTGTAAATTCAGCGTCATTTTACCTATGTATTTATTAGTCCACCTCTAAGTGACCAAGCCATCTTTCGTCTTAGCTTTGTGGCCGTATATGCATTATGTTATACCAGATCTGGTTTAACGAGCTTAAACACCCCCCCTGTTTTGAAGTTAATAACTATATAAAGCTCGATCAGATTTAATCTAGTAAAAAAAATTTGCATTCATGGCTATACTCTTCTTGGCATTGTCTCTACAACATCTGGCATGTGCAGCAATGGGATACGTCATAAATAAATTAATGTGGCACATTTTGGCATATATTTATTCAAAACCATAGGTCTTTTTCTAAAGTACTTTAAATTTAAAATTGGGCATTGCTGTATCGCTGATGCCCTCGTTCCTGAATTCATTACCTTCTGTTGCTATTAAACACTTTAATTTTGACATTTCAGTATCCGAAGTTATTCTCGTTTGGTTTGTTTTCACATGAAGGACCAACGATAGAACAGGTTGGTAAAACCCGAGAAAATGTGTTTCAACTTTGATTTAATTTATTGAGGCGAAAACATCTCGTAACGTATCGTCTGTCGTTTATATTAAATAGATGAAAAATACTGGTTTTGCCATGACATTTTATGGAAAAGGTTTCAGCAAAGAACACGAAGGAGAGATTGGGTATTTCGACGTTAATAATATTTATGGTACTTTGAAGATGATATATAATGACGCCTTTTCTTCTCGTACTGTAGCTCCGAGTCGAAGATGGATAAAATAATCGTCACTCGTGTTTTTGGTCCAGGTGTGTCATGCATAAATACATCATTACTACGTATTTTCCCACACATGTATTCTCTATCACCTAATATCCCTCTCAGGTCACATATTTATGTGCAGCAAGAAAAACTTAGACAACGAACTGTTTTTCATGCTATACCTCGCTGATTTATCAATTTAGAGCCGGGCTATATGACCACGCCCATCTGCATGGTTCAAGCCGCTATGGTGATATTAACTGAAAGAGAAGCTATGCCAGAAAGGTTGGTAATCACACCATGATGTAGAGTTAATTAGAGAGGTGATGCCAGAGAGGTTGGTAATCACACCATGATGTAGAGTTAATTAGAGAGGTGATGCCAGAGAGGTTGGTAATCACACCATGATGTTGAGTTAATTAGGGTAATAATACCGGAGAGGTTGGTAATCATACCATGATGTAGAGTTAATTAGAGAGGTGATGCCAGAAAGGTTGGTAATCACACCATGATGTAGAGTTAATTAGAGTAGTGATACCGGAGAGGTTGGTAATCACACCATGATGTAGAGTTAATTAGAGAGGTGATGCCAGAGATGTTGGTAATCACACCATGATGTTGAGTTAATTAGAGAGGTGATGCCAGAGAGGTTGGTAATCACACCATGATGTTGAGTTAATTAGGGTAATAATACCGGAGAGGTTGGTAATCACACCATGATGTAGAGTTAATTAGAGAGGTGATGCCAGAAAGGTTGGTAATCACACCATGATGTAGAGTTAATTAGAGTAGTGATACCGGAGAGGTTGGTAATCACACCATGATGTAGAGTTAATTAGAGAGGTGATGCCAGAGAGGTTGGTAATCACACCATGATGTTGAGTTAATTAGGGTAATAATACCGGAGAGGTTGGTAATCACACCATGATGTTGAGTTAATTAGAGAGGTGATGCCAGAGAGGTTGGTAATCACACCATGATGTAGAGTTCATTAGAGAGGTGATACCGGAGAGTTTGGTAATTAAACCATGATGTAGAGTTAATTGGAAAAGCGATGCCAGAGAGGCTACACCATAAGGTAAATTTAATTGGAGAAGTGATGCCAGTAATTACACCATCTGATAGAGCTGACCAGAGAAGTGATCGAAAAAAGTCGGAAAGATTCTATAACGAATCATAGCTAGTGACTTGCCTATCGCGAAGCATGTTTCTAGGAAAGCAATTCTTAGCCTCGAGTAAGCGCGCGATTTATCAAAAATAACCCAGCCGTATAATAATATATGTTGTTTATTATGCACGAAGTAATTTTTACAAATTTATCATGCATCGTGCTTGGTTTATATTTATTTGTAGTGGAGGTGTTTTGACACCTGGCGCCGCCTTCGCTGAAACGACGTTGATTGAAAGGTTGGATTCAAATGGCGTTCGTTTTGTCACCGTCAAAGATGCAACGAACATTAAGTTGAACGTAAATGTAGAATGATAATTGGTATAGTGACTAGTCATCAAATAGAGACGGTAAAACGATGATTGTAAATCTTATGAAGGTCATCTTGTGTTGTTAGACTTGTTGTCTCAAGCCTTTGTTATAATGATTTCGTCAGTTCATATTAAAGAATGACGTATTATGTTGTCGAGAAGTTTACGTTTTAATCTATTGTAAATCTATCCCAACTTTATCTTGTTTGTTCATGTTTATCGTGGTTTGGAATGATGGTCGACAATATCTATGGAAAAATTTAAACATTGTGTTAACCGTTGTATCTTTATTCGAAAAAGCAATGTTTAACTACAAACACACTGCAAGATAAATGATTATGAATATGTAATATTTCATTCATATTCTTTGCGTCGCCATGATCCAAGATGTTGGCTACGAAGCTGGGACTCTAGAGTTAGTAAAATCGGCTAAACACCACATGATCTCCGATATATTCTTCCCCGAGACTTCATTACCGGTACAAATCATCCGGTATGTTGACCGAAGGAGAGTTTTCCATGGGAAAGGATGTTAATGTCGATCCTCGACTTCTCTTCTTATCCATAGAAACCAATTCCAGTGAAAATGCTTCTGTTTATGCAATGCTGTGCATTTACATCAAAGGCATTCACTTGCTCTCGTATTGAATAAACAGCCATTATCTTGCAATTTGACCTCTTCCGACAGTATTCTCGAAGATCGGATTTCATACAATCATATTTAGCACATGTGCGTTTAAATAATTCAGTGCTATCTCCCAAAGCCAAGATACACGCTAGCGTGCAACGTTTATCGTTAATCCAATCGCGTGTTGACAAGTACCGATGTTCTTTGTACAGTGATTCATAATTCAACGATAAATACGCTCATAGATAAGAGATACGCATGCGCGGAAGCATAGGACGCCGTCTTCAAGGAGCATTCTAATTTAGCGCTGCCACAAGACGATCATTTTTGGCAACACTTGCATACGATAAGCTAGAAGCCAAGAACAAAAATCGAAAATGTCCATTGTCAAACAATTCAAAGGAAATAAAATTTTAACATCGGCCGAATTCGTCACGTTGTTCAAAAAATACGACAAAGACGGTAAGGGCATTAATAATAGAATTTCGTTGGCAGACTGTTGTAACTGGCCGCTAAGCGTGAAATTTATATCGTATAAAATTATCCTGTGTGTGTAGAAGGCTTTGTAAAAATACGTGGGCGAGTCGAAGGTTTATCTAAATTGTTAAAAATAATTTTTGTTGTTTGAATATCTAAATATAGGAAATGGATTCATAGAAGCTGGTGAGCTCGATTCGTTCTTGAGAGATCTTTGCTCCGAATTGGGAAGTGAAGTAAGAAATGCATTCGTTTGATTTTCATTTCGAGAGAAAAAAACGCAAATTAAATACCATCTTTATTCTTTAAAACTCTTCCACAACGCGGTGCTGGAGAAAATAATATTGATACTCCGAATGAGGATTTTTTGTTTTGTTCATTCAAGCAGATGGCATATGTTTTCAGATGATATTAATGTTTTGCCCTAAAGTCAAGATCTTTGACGACAAAAGCTCTAGCGCGGATTATAAGTAATATGTTAATTCTTCTTTAGTTAATTGGTACAGTTTTTTGAAACTTAAAAAAATTTCTGAAATGGTCAGTGGAAAATATAGCTACAAACCGCTTGATTTACGCCTTTTTAAAAATATTTACAGAAGACTAGATAACTCTCCATTCCGTTCCTATTTTAGCACAGAAAAAATCTATACTATAATCATTGCATAAGTTTTTTCTTCACACTTCTAAACCGCGAACAGCTATGTCTTACTGGCTGAATTCCAGTCGGTTTAAAAAAAACACATCCCAATTAAATTGATTGGGGATGCTTTTAAAGGCAACTCAGGTGATCTCGGAAAAGCTCTTAAATTTAGCCATCATTTTGTGGCGGTTGATCTGTATAAAGTTGTGAGGAGTCTCTTTCAATTATTTAAAGAACATATCGATCAGAAACATGCAACTCTGAATATGTACCCGCATACTATAAACAAAATATATGATGTATGACAAAAAGTCTTGAGGAAATATGAAAGCAAATATAAATAACTGTTCGTGGCACGATTAATAAACATTTCAAATGCTTTTCAAGTGCAAATGCTTTTAGTGACTTTATAAGGACTACGCAAGTTGGTTTCGCTCGTTTATTCCCATACACAAGAGTCTTGTAATAAGAAGAAAACGAGGGACTACGAACAAACTTGTTTTATGAAATTGTTTAACTTTAAAACGCAGCGACATGTGTTTAAGTAAAATTAAGTTGAAAGTTATATTGGCTAGTTTGGTTGCGTCGGCGTTTTTCAAATAGGCGAAAACTATTATCATAATTGCCAAAGCAACTAAACGCAGCTTGCATGGAGAGCGCATCAAATTTGCATGGCATTAAGCGACAGCTGCAAAAACGCTGTTAGCATAGTTGTAATTACAAAAAATCGAATAATATTCCTCGCATGCAAACAGCAAACCGTTATATACACAAATGCTGAGCTGCAACAAGGGAAATTTCCCTTATCAAAGTTTATGTTTTACAACAAAGGGAGTGACAAATTATCCTATTAAAAGGTTAAAGATTAATCGGCTTTGAAACAATTTTAGAAGTCGAGCAAAAGCAAGCACGCACTACATATTTAATGACTATGGAAATTTGACTCACATTTGACTTCGATCAAGTACGAGCCACTGATGTTTCTTTATCACAGGTATATCTGGTGGTAGCATTTCTTCCACATTGCCATAATTTATTTACCTAAAAAGACATGAATGTCATTTTAAGATTTTTAAAAAAACTATGGAGAATAATGTGAGACAAAGGAATATACTAACGAAAGAAGCCAAAGAAGTTGTTACGACTGACAGACATATTTACATGAAGTACGAAAGAACATACAATTATACGCAAGTACTCAACATTTGCGAATAATTTGTCTCTTAGAGTGTTGAGCATTCAAGGGCTGTTTATTGTTTTGTAAAATACTTACTTTATGATTATGGTAAACTACAGCTAAAAGTATGTAAAAAATTAACACGGACGATGGAAGTTAAATAACTGGGGAGATGGGCAAGGAGAGGGAGATGGGCAAGAGGGGGAGATGCCTCGTTGTAAAAAATTAACACGTTTATTTTCTTTTCGACTGAATGCAGTCACAAATTTAAATTTTCTCCCCTTAACCAGTCTTGATTCGCTTACAACGACTGTGTTGGTTTTATATTTGTGAAGACTAGATTTTCACATAACTAGTGTCAATAAAGTCTTCCTCCCTAGTAAGACCAATTTATTCATCACCAGCACATGCGTTTTACACAAACATAGTATGTGTATTCTTAAGTAAAAACAGTTATATAAAGTTATTTTTCCCAGAACGAGCTCAAATGCGGCATAAAGGAGTTGAAAGAGTTGGTCCTTACAAAGTATGACGTCAACTCGGATGGAAAGCTCAGTATGGATGAGGTATTATTGCTTTGACTTAATAGAAACTAAAGAACAACAATGAGGGTTTCTTGTCTATGGTATAGGCAAGTGTCACGAAAACTTTGCTATTAAAGTTGTTTCATTCAAAAGAACTCGTAAAATGACATTGGACTTTCTCGTCACATCTCTTCATTCTCAAGGTATTGAAGTTTTGTGACGTCCGATTTATAAAGAGATGACGTCAAATTGCACATCACAGCAAATTTAAAAATATCCTTTGGTTGCCTGCTTAGCTTTTGAACGAAATACCTATGTAAAATTTCATGCCATTAAAACTTAACAACGACACGAACTCTGTCCTGTTGATATGATATAAGATACAAGCACATGTTCATTATAATTAAATTTCATTATGCAATGTGACGTCACTTTCTTTATGAATAGGACAACACGAAACTTCGATGTGTTGAGAATGAAAAGATATATGAAAAGGCTGTTTTAGAAAGTCCATTGTTACTTCACGGGTTCTCTTCAATGAAATTGTAATTTCGATAGCAAATTTTTCGTTATACTGAGCTATTAAATAAAATAAAATGGCGATTTCGTTGCAGATGAGCAAAATTTTACCGACTGAGAAAAATTTCCTAATGAACTTCCGCAAGAACGTGAAACTGACATCGGTGGAGTTCATGGAGGTACTGGGATACTCATTGTTATATGTGTATGAATATGGATACGTATAAGTATAACATAAGTAAAAATATAAGAATAAGTATAAGTATAATATGGATATGTATAGGATCTCTAGAGCTATGGTCAAATGTAATGCAATTTATTTTTGAATCAGTGATAATTCTATTTCTAGATTTGGTTTCACTATGACTTAGACAAGAGTGGATTCTTGGAAGGACATGAAATCGAGGTAGTTGAAATGTTGCATACAAAATACCGAGTTGCCCCTCCCTGTTATTTTGTCACTTCACCTATGTTCCGGGGGGTATATGGATGACAGCCATAGATAGCACCAGCATAGGGGATCTCAACTGCGCACTCACGTACATCTGTTTTTCAGGGTTTCATCTACGATTTCTTGAAAAAAGCCGAATTTGATGTTTCTCCAACGAAAATCAAGGCCTCGAAAGACGACATTGTAAGAACAAGATAAATAAACTATAAAGAAAAACGATAGAGCGTTGTTTATGAAGTCTACACTTTGATAAATGACCTCTGCCAATGTCAAAGTTTAAACGAAAGCATCTAATTGTTTGTAGGGTAACCTCGAACTGAACATCCACGTTGTCATCATATTTTGCAGATTATTGCTGACGATTCAAAGTGTTTTTATTTTTTTCTAGTTAAATACAATTGATTCCAACAAAGATGGCAAAATTTCACTCACTGAGCTCGCTGAGTATGTACACGTAATCAATCTTTGAATTTGTGCAATCTGATTGGTTCGTTTAACAATGTAATATTTTCCACGGCCAATCATATGATGCAAAAAGACGTAAAACATTTGAAGAAAACATTCATGACATTTCCTGCAATATTTCTTCTTTGAACAATTTGACTCTATTTCGGTAAAATTTTCATTGTAATGTGTTTAAAGGTTATTGCCGGCTGGCGAAAATTTCTTCAAGAAATACGAGGTTCGGATTGACATCATTCATAAAAATCATGTGAAATGTGCCTTTCAAAATTGAAAATTGTTACAATTTCTTATCTCAGCACAAGCATCGATTGGATGAACAAGATTTTAACGACATTTTCGCCCATTACGACAAGGTTAGTGCGTAATAAAGCGTCTGAAACAAGAGAATGTAAGATGATTCATCTCATATCTCATGAAAACATTGGAAAATTTTATTTTGCGGAAATTATGACAAAAAATAAAGACGTTCCTTTTTTGACAAAAATTTGATGTATACATCACACACTTGGCATTATCCTGTTTCTATCCAATGTCATCCCCGATCGTTGTCTATTTTATACTCACTTGGCGATCGCGAGTTTATGAGAGCTTTTTCTATCAAGCGTTACCCCCACAACATTCTATATTCATTTAGATCACGAGCTCACAAGATCTCTCTTTATCCAATGCTATCCCTCGCTAGATTATCTATTCCATGTTCTTCGTACTCCATCAATTCTTCTTACCTTGCGTGTTTCCATTTTCAATGTAGGACAAGAGTGGTCAAATTGAGGAGAAAGAGCTGCTAGCCTTGCTTAAGGACGTTATGGAGAGAGATGGAACGGTAATTGAACTATTCTGAAATAAAACAAACCAAAAAATTATCACAATAAATACTAAATTTCATAAAATAGCATAAAAATATCAAGCAATTTGATTCGTGCAAAGTCATGATTTACACAGATACGCAGATTGACGTCATGATTTAGAAATGAAAACTTAAACAGAAACAAACAAATGCACGACGGTCTACAACATTTTTATAGACTAAGGTTGCACGCAATTCATATAGCTGCATAAAATAAGAACATAGCGATACGGCGTATATTCATCAACTAATGGCCTTCTGTGCTACGTAAAACATCACAGTGCCTATCGTTGTGTTGTAATTACACTCGTAGTGTAGTATGAAATATCACAGTCCCTATGGTTGTGTTGTAATTGCATTCGTTGTAAATTTAAGTTGAAATATCACAGTCCCTATGGTTGTGTTGTAATTACACTCGTAGTGTAGTATGAAATATCACAGTCCCTATGGTTGTGTTGTAATTACACTCGTAGTGTAGTATGAAATATCACAGTCCCTATGGTTGTGTTGTAATTACACTCGTAGTGTAGTATGAAATATCACAGTCCCTATGGTTGTGTTGTAATTACACTCGTAGTGTAGTATGAAATATCACAGTCCCTATGGTTGTGTTGTAATTACACTCGTAGTGTAGTATGAAATATCACAGTCCCTATGGTTGTGTTGTAATTGCATTCGTTGTAAATGTAAGTTGAAATATCACAGTCCCTATGGTTGTGTTGTAATTGCATTCGTTGTAAATGTAAGTTGAAATATCACAGTCCCTATGGTTGTGTTGTAATTGCATTCGTTGTAAATGTAAGTTGAAACATCACAGTCCCTATGGTTGTGTTGTAATTGCATTCGTTGTAAATGTAAGTTGAAATATCACAGTCCCTATGGTTGTGTTGTAATTGCATTCGTTGTAAATGTAAGTTGAAACATCACAGTCCCTATGGTTGTGTTGTAATTGCATTCGTTGTAAATGTAAGTTGAAACATCACAGTCCCTATGGTTGTGTTGTAATTGCATTCGTTGTAAATGTAAGTTGAAACATCACAGTCCCTATGGTTGTGTTGTAATTGCATTCGTTGTAAATGTAAGTTAAAACATCACAGTCCCTATGGTTGTGTTGTAATTGCATTCGTTGTCAATGTAAGTTGAAACATCACAGTCTCTATGGTTGTGTTGTAATTGCATTCGTTGTAAATGTAAGTTGAAACATCACAGTCCCTATGGTTGTGTTGTAATTGCATTCGTTGTAAATGTAAGTTGAAACATCACAGTCCCTATGGTTGTGTTGTAATTGCATTCGTTGTAAATGTAAGTTGAAACATCACAGTCCCTATGGTTGTGTTGTAATTGCATTCGTTGTAAATGTAAGTTGAAATATCACAGTCTCTATGGTTGTGTTGTAATTGCATTCGTTGTCAATGTAAGTTGAAACATCACAGTCCCTATGGTTGTGTTGTAATTGCATTCGTTGTAAATGTAAGTTGAAATATCACAGTCCCTATGGTTGTGTTGTAATTGCATTCGTTGTAAATATTACAGTTTGCTCAGAAAAACAATAAAATGAATTTCTCGCTAATTTCTTTGCTAACAGAGCCCGAGTTTATCTGATTTGGAAGATTGCAAAGTTGATATTATGAAAATCGTCGATTCAAACAAGGATGGAAAAGTATCACGTGATGAACTCGCCTTGCTTTTATCCGCTCAATAATACGTCAATATTCAAAATATCCAAGAGAAAACGTTTTGAAAATTTTCCACATTATAGTCAGTTTATCAAAAGTTTAAAATATCTTTAAATACAGGATGTGGTGTTTGTTTACGTGAATGACATTTGATTGTGTCTAAATTATTTAATAGTCATATACAGAGTCAGCAATGTACTCAAGTACATCAATTGAAAAGTTAAAAACGAATATATGAATTGTTGGTGCTATGTCTGTATACAAAAGAACGAACAAGTGTGAGAGATGTGGTCGAAAGATATTCTTGTATAAATACGAAGATGGTGCTTTGCCATTATACAAAAGAACGAACAAGTGTGAGAGATGCGGTCTAAAGATATTCTTATATAAATACGAAGAGGATGCTTTGTCTTTATACAAAAGAACAAACGAGTGTGAGAGATGTGGTCTAAAGATATTCTTATATAAATACGAAGATGGTGCTTTGCCTTTATACAAAAGAACAAACGAGTGTGAGAGATGCGGTCTAAAGATATTCTTAAATAAGAAGTTGCAAGTCGAATACAATACATACAATGAATATTCTGTTCGCAAGTTTTGAAACGTGAACATCGACAAGAAATGAAAGCAACAATTTGTTGTATCCAAGTTACTTCATGATATACGATAATACCAGGCAAAGGATAAGTGAAAATTTGAAAACATTCGTAAACGTAAATTAATTGGTTTCGTAAAAACGTTCCCTAAAATGCTGCTCATTCGTTGTCTGCTGTTCTTTTTGAATATCGAGCACGCCCCTGTGGAAAATCGTTTGAAAAGTTATATTTAAAGCGTCGAAACATAATCTTCGCGGTTCTCATTTGGCCAAGAAACGGTTAAAATTTATAAAGACACGATTTGAGAAAGAGTTAAATTCACTTTAAAAGCAGCCGAATCTTAGGTAGATATCAAGATAATACAGGTGTACGTAGTTTCTCCATCTTGTAGAAATTATTCCCATCTTTTTCTTACCGTTGAACGTTATAAAGCGTTTATTCAGATTAAATTCTTACGCCCTTTAATTGAATACCAATGTAAATGCGAACGAGAAACAAGCAAACACACGCTAAGACTTTCATATAAGATAACATGAATGCCTTGGCAAATATTACAGCATTAACCATTTAGATGAAAAGAACCGCATGTTGATTTAGTTGCCTTGGGGGAAGCTCGCCCACGTGAGGGTGACGTCACAGGAATGACGTTCCCCGCCCAACGTATGCAAAAATTTAAACGCATGCTCAGAAGGAATTACAAACCAAAACATTGCAAGTGTGATTATCGGTTTAGTCGTGATCGGGAACGTTTGGCTTTTGGGTATAATTAAAATATTTTGGCATATTTTCAATACAATCCACCGAGCAAAATGAGCTGGAAAAAACAGGGAAATTTCCAACGTACGTACACACAACCTGATTTGTCAAAAATCGAATTAAAATCAAAGGTGTGTTTCGAAGATTCGTTTATTACAAAAATACAAACAATATACACAACAATTGTTGACGGTATTTAGAGAATTGAATATCATTGACTCGCTTGTGTAGTGATGATTTTTATTTCGTTTTGTGCAGTTAGACGCAGAATTTCGAAGAGTTTCGATCGACCGTCATCAGTACACAGAATTTGCCAATTTCTACTCGTTTTTGGAGAAACTTCACCAGTTAGAGAAAAAACCATTTACTATTTGGTACACGGATCCTGACAGAGAACTACTTCCAATCAACAATAATAATAATTTAGCTGCTGCTCTACAACATACACATCAAAGATTACGGCTGGTTGTACAGAGACAAGGTGAGTGGAAATATAGTTATTTTGTCTATTTCTTGTGGCATTTTTGATTTATTTAAAATTGTGATCGATTATTATGAGCTTTGTCATAGTGACTGCCTAAAAGCCGTAATTTTATGTGCAATTACGTATTTGCGTCAAAGCATTTGCGTCAAAGTATCTTTCTATTGTGGTGTTTCAATTTTAATTGTATATGTCTGACTATTTATGCGTGTGACTGATGTGTGACTCCAATTTTTGATTGGCTTAATTTGATATTTTGATTTGAATATATAAACTATGGCCATAAGACACTTTTGAATTTCATTGGGAATATAATAAGGTTTGAATAAGCTTCAAATGTATTGAATGTCGATCTCAGTATCTCAATAAAGGTTATAGATTCACCAATTCCCATAAAACAATATTTCATACAATTTCCACACAATACTTGATTGCTTTAAACAAACACTATCAAATAAACACATGGTTATTTCTCAAGGGAAAAGCTACAATTCGGACAGCCAATTTGATTCACCATCAGGAATTGGATCACCCAAAAGAAAGAACATACTTTCCAACGTTACAAATGTGGTTGCAAGTCGTCCGAAAATGGTCCACAGGCTTGCAATAAGTACACCTTCAGATTTCAGAAGAGTTTCGGCCATTGTTGATGTTGATATTGTACCAGAAACACATCGTCGCGTTAGACTGTTAAAGCATAACAGTGATAAACCTCTTGGTTTCTACATCAGAGATGGTACAAGCGATCGAGTTGTTCCAAATGGCATTGAAAGAGTACCTGGTATATTTATTTCGAGGCTTGTACCTGGCGGTTTGGCAGAAAGCACAGGTTTACTAGCAGTAAATGATGAAGTTCTAGAAGTCAACGGTATTGAAGTTTCAACTAAGACATTAGATCAAGTGACGGATATGATGATTGCAAATAGTCATAATTTAATAATAACTGTGAAACCTGCCAACCAACCAACACCTCAGCCTATGAGTCGAGTGTACAAAGATTCACACTCGGTTAAATCAAACCCAGATCTTTCACGAATCCGACTGGAAGATAACAGAACATTTTCTACCCCGGATTTGCCAACTTCATTAAAATTGGAAGCTAACAGTGGCTATCATGGAAAAAGCAGCGTCCCACAAGCGTGTCGCCTAGCGGTATGTTTTATAAAGGTGGTAGTGGTCTTGTAAATCCAGCATGTGATTTCATGAATGATAGTGGGGATGAGGGCGAAGTGGATGAGGATGGTGTACTATCTATTTGAACCATTATGTATATAAACTATTGAAGATATCCAATCTGTAGGAATTTAACAATTCAAGTTTCATGACATTTTATAGCAAAATATTTTCAACTATGACATTATCAAAAGTCGAATTGTAGTAGATGAACAACTTTTGCAATGATTGTTTAGATACAGCACTAGTTATTTTTAATCAAATATCAAAGGATGAAAGCCTATTGAAGGATTAGCAATTTTAGTGAATAAATATTTTAGAGAAGCTATTTAAGTAATATTCAACACAGAAGACTATTTTGGCCTTATGTTTCAGCAGAATACATTTAAAGTTTCATTGTTTTTGAAAAACTTTTATTTCAAGATGAACTTTTTATTGGAACGATGAACAGTAATAGCTGATTTATCCACTTCAATATTTGAAATTTTTTGTGAAATAAGAAATATTCGTCAATTATATAAGTTACGGGGTACTGTGAACTGTTATGTATATATATGATTGTACTTTTCACGTTTAAATACAACTTTTGTATAATACACGAACTGGGCATGATACTTGACAAACTCGTGTCGAGGAAGACTTTAAAAAGCTCGTTATAAAGCAGCTATCAACAATATTACTCTACAAAAAGACAACGATAGAGATGTTGTTTACCTTCCGCGTGTCCTGACAGTTTCAACTTGTTTGAAACTATCTTTAAGTTGACTCCTTTCCTCGAAGCTATCTTCGACGCCACGTTCGTTGAAGTGAAGACCATTTTGAAATTGAAATGAGCGGGAAACTTTCCATATTTCGCGGGTACCCCCCTGATGCCGACTGGGGGAGGGGGGGTGAGAGGATGAATTTAATATTTCATTGCCGAGGGAGGAGGGGGGAGTTCAAGCTAGATTTCCTATCAGAGAACTTGGAACGGATAATGATGGAAACATCAAGCGAAAAGAAGGGATATTTTGTCATATTTTTAATGCGGGAGTTGTTTAACAACATGGATGGAGGGGGTTAGACTAAAGTCACTAAAGACTCATTATTTCATCATACTATGGTGAAAGAAACAAGCTCTGCTATATTACTGATAAACAGACTATTTCATTCACAATTACCTCAGAATGATTACAACACTTTTTTTGCATGAACTAACGTTTATTCCACTAATAAATAGACATAATAAATGAGTGAGCACTATACAACAATTTGTAATGGCTTTTGTAAAGTAAATTAATATGTACAACCAGGAAAAAAACTATCGTGAACTACGGTATGAGCGTTTAGCTGTTAACCACACAAAAACTACAGTCAATAACACAAAAAAAAAACGCCACAAGTTGTTTTTCTTTTCAACGAGAAAATGAAAAAAGTGTGCTCCTAATGATTTTTAACCACAAGTCTTAGCTTATCTTTTCTTTATTTGTTATTGACATAAACAAATGCATACTTGTCAGTCTTACGACAACGGTCAAATATTATGATTGGCAACTAAACGCCCAGTCTATATATGCTTTGACATGTAATACACTTTTGAGTTTTCGTCAAGTACTTAAAAGAAAAACGAGAAAGTAAACATGATTTCAAAAGCTTTAAACGAAAATGACGCCTGCCGTGACAGTTAGCCATTTTCTAGCTGCAAACTATAAAAATTCTCGCCTTCAAATTGAACATATTTCATGTTATGATACAGAACCAGAAAACCTTTCCGGTTTTGCATCTCGAGTTAGTATAGAAGATCTTGCTTTGCGAATGATAATCAAAATGATATAACCGCTTTGATATTTCAATACTTTTTCGGTCAAAAAATGGCTCTTCGAAGGTTTATAGAAGAAGCCACGAATGGCGATAAAATACGTTAAAACGATGAGTAAACTAGCCTATGTAGATGGTGTATAGTTGTCAATTGTTTTATACACAACAGATGGCATAAATTCTATACAGTCTGTTATGAGGAGCTATAGTAGATTGGTGAGAATATTTTACAATTATCATGTTACTTTCAACGTTGGTCGTCCATTCTTTCACTAACTACGTATGGAACTTTTCACTGCTGAGAAACGTCGTCGTTCGTGGGAAGCATGCCTGCGGACAACGATAAAAAAGGAATGATATTTTTGTGACTAATTTCCTGGTTTTGATTTACAATTGTAAATAAATTCATGAAAAATGCTTAAACAATTAATTGACTATAAAACGCGCTTTTACGTGTTCATCATTGGGAAAAGAAGAAAAATAATTGTTGTGACGTGTAACGATAGACAAAAGTAGTGTCCAGTCCTTCAGTGTCACTTCAATTTATTTAAATGCCTTACTCATGAGCCTTCTAAGAATAATATCTTTCTTATAACGAACCCACGTCCCATCATATACAGATGAGAAAACCCCCCAAATTATTGAATTCCAGACTGGAAAGTTTCAAACTTTATGAATTTTCATGAAATTTATCGAAACGTTGGAATGTAGTTATTTTTCTTTGCATAAGACAAATACGTTTCTACTCACTAAGTTGGTTTCTGTCGTCTTTTCGCAGTTTAAGGACAGTATAGTTATAAACAACATTGGCATTTTCGTCAAATCTATGTTGATAACCATCGGCACCTATACAAATATTTCACCTCGAGTCAAAGTATTGTCACGATATTTTAACTTTAACTATTACAACACGGAGACTATATTAATTTTTGATACGAGCTACTCACCAATAAACTGCCTTCCTTTGAGTTTCTTGATGATATTCACGCCACTTGGTTTTTGCTGGGCCTCCAAAACTTCGTGCAGCGCATGCGCAAATTGAAAAACAGCATCGTACAAATATACGGCTTCAAATGGTACCTAAAGTAGATAATAAATGACATTCAATATAAAAATGAAGGCTACACAGAGACAAACCATGTGTGGTGAGATGTTCTGGACAAGAGGCGCGTGCCTCAATTCTCAAATACTTCATGTAAAAAAGATCAGTGTTATATAGCAGTATATGGGGTTATCGCATTTGTTATGAAGACAGAAAATTTAATTTACATCTTCAAAACCAACCTTTGCATGAGATCTGTCAAAAATACACTTTTTCTCTAGGTACAAACATCCTTCGTATGCCTTACTGAACCATGGCTTTCTTGGCGAAGCTTTTCTTACGAGTTTTTCAAACTTCGCGAATTTTCTTGTTTCGACAGTGGGAACCTCGCTGATCAAAGACAGTTTCCTAAACCCTCTTATCGTCACGTTTGTTCTTCTTGGAGTGGTAAGTTTGTATGCGCTGAAGAACCATTTGAACGGTCGTAAAATGTACATTCGCATTGATAACCGGTCCAGCGGTGTTGAAATGAATTGGTGACTGTCGAATGGCGAATAAGGGTTTTTCTCGAAATGTGCTTGAGTCGTGTAGACTATCTCTCGTGTCAAGTCAAACGCTGCGATGATAATTGTAGCTACACAAAGAAAAAGATTAGGAATAAACCGAATGAAATTCGCTAAGATGAACCCGAAGATGCGAGTTCAAATCTCGTCCAAGTCACATGTTTTTCATGTGCATATTAAAACCGTGTTACGATTAATATATTATATGTATTCTCTGATGATGGCTTTGGAATAAATTCGCTAAAGCAGCATGAAAATGGATGGCTGAAGAATCCGAGCTGCATTTAAGTTAATTTACACAAGATCAGTAGCATTTTATGTTATATCAACTTTAAACCCTTACTCAGTAGTAGATTCAGCAATAGGCGAAATGAATTGGGGCACTGTTCATTGAGAAGTTTCAAAAAAAGATAAAATTACAAATAGAATTGCTTTTAAAGTACTTTAGTAAAGAGTATATTCAAGAATGCCGGTTTGTACTTTACTTTGCCAAATTTTGCATCTGCTATTGATGTTACAGTTCATCATAAGAGAAATTAAATCGTGTTGACTATGGGCGTAGATAGATCGATAGTGGAGGAGGGGGGGAGGGGCAAATAATCATACATGCCCGATATCCAGGTTAGTTTCTTTTGCCACCATCATTTTCTACGGATTATATAATGTTTATATGAATACGAGCCTTCCCACCCCCAATTATCAATCTTTCCACGCCCATAAACCTTTTCCACAAGCCATCCCACTGGAAATCTTGTAACAAGGTTTATACGAATATGAGCTCTCCCTCCCTCCCCCACCCCCACAAATTATCCATCCCCTTCAACCCACAAACCACTTCCGCTGGCCATCTCATGAGAAAGGCTTCAATAAAAATGTTCTAAAATGTCATCGTAAAGAAACTATGCTACAAAAATACCTTGAGATTTAAAAGGCAATAAATAAAGATACTCGGGAACCCTGGAAAAAAACACATGGTACTGTATCTTGCGTTTCAAACCGGTTGCAATGTTGTTCTTTTTGAGAAGATGTGTAAAGTATTTCTTAAAAGAATGCCATTTCGCACCATCTTCGTAGATAATATTCACCCGTTTCAAACCCCTTTTCTTAATGAGCTCAATTAGTTTCGACGCGGCCTTGCTGTGCAGGGGATTGGTACAAGCGAAATTTGAATGCTGCGCTTTGTTCCAAACGCGATTCACTTGGCAATCCTAGGAAACGATTAAAACAGTAAAATTTGTTAGACACATTTCATTGACCATACTCCATGACAATGGTAATGCAAAAACAACCAGTCCCAGATCAATGAACATAAAAATTTAAGAAAATCCACATGTTTGCTGTTGCAATATCAAAGAAAAGTGCGCATCATGATTTGGAAATCGACATTGAGTATTGTATTTCATTTAATTGCAATTTCATCGAGTTATTTTTTCATGAATGAATTTTTTATGCAAACGCAAAGGCCTGTCAACCAGCTGCGCAGCTGTAAAAGCAACGCTTCCAAATAAGGTTCCTTATCTGACTATCTAACTAGCATCTAACCATGGCTGAGCGAAATTCGACGTCAATTTAACGCAGGCAAAGTATGGAAGAGATAGGATGTAATATAGAATAACAAACGTCAAACTCTAGTTACTTTAAAAGATAATTCCGAATTATCCCCAAGAGGGGCATTTTTGTCGGCAATTTTCAGCATCCTGATCGGACAAATTCAACAAATGAAATCGTTTACAAAAGGAAATGATAAGAACTAAAGTCTCGGCGAACGTGCACCTCCAAGATTGCGGAAAACGGTTTAAAGTGTACTAGAGAATTCTCATATGGGAAAATGGAAAAAATTTACAGAGGCGTTTTTTATTTTCATACGCGGTATTTTGGATATTTGGAGAATGTTTAGGTAATGACGTCTTTGGCTGGAACATCACTGAAAAGCTTAGCTTCCTATAAAAACTTCACTCGAGTGTTTACTTAGTAAATTTTAAACAAATGAGAGAAATTTCGACGTAGATATGAACATAAACAACGAGAGTATGAACTTTTAAATCAAATTTAAAACATGTGTATTCAAATTACAAAATACACCAGCGCCCCGAATTGAGTGAATTCGGTTAAAAAAAATTCCGCGTTACATTCAAGGGCACGGCGAGCCTTCGACAGCAAGTATAATATTTAAATCTTGTTTAAAATACAATACAGACTACTTCGAGAGAGGATTATTGTGAATTACGCGAAAGTCAAAACAGCACGGCAACATTCAAAGTTCATAAAGGAAAAAAGACAACAGCTGATTTAAACCCTCAAGTTGCCAAAGTTAATCAATATTTGACCATATAAAGCTCTGAAAGTGAAGAAAGGTAGAATTTTTTACTTACGAAAGATACAACCGCCTTGTGATTCTTTTTCGCCGTGTTTACAGCCTTGTGAGCATGACAACTGGGACCAATAAATCCGACAACGCCTTGATCTATTTGAAACTGTTGTTGCTGGATCAATTTGGTCTTGTTGCAAGCAGTGTTGCTCCAAAGAAAGCCGAGTTTTGCTCCTTTCAACAACCGTGGATGAGCGTTGACTTTGCGCACAGCCAATGTTACGGCTGAAGCGTACTCTTTAGCAGAAGGATGATCCCAATTCAAATCGTATGTGAATGGCAACAGTACACCTAACTTGTATTCGTTTTGAGACGCCAACGTTCGATGGAACACCGATGCAAGCACCGTGAGAGACGATATGAACATGGTAAGATCAAAAACAGCCATTTTCGAGTTTCAGGAAAAGATCTCCTTGATTTCTTAGATCGTCAAGGTAATGAGGGTAGCGATGTTCCAAACTTCTCACAAAGAGTGCCTTTCAAGTTTGATCTAAAGAATATAAATAAAATTCGTGCCATTACATTATGAAGAAATAAGTGGTGATTATAAAGGCTGGCTGTTGTTGTTTGGTATACAGATATTGTGAATAAAAGCCATTCTTATGTGTCTCCCACAACAACGAAGATGACCGAATCAGTGACTGCGCATGTACGAGCAATCCTCGTCATTGCATGGATATGAATAAGGGAATAAAAACGTTTTTCGTAAAATTAAAGTTTACTCCAAGAAATTAATCCATGAAAAATTAGAAGAAAAAGCTGTGAAAACAATTAGAGGATAAGAACAAAGGATTTTGTGTGTCTGTCTATTCAAGACATGAATAGTGATCTTATACATATTGAATAAAGAAGAAATGAATTCAGGGAAGAAATTTGTATAAATGCGTCCTTCCAGTCTACTTATGTTGTAATGCATGTTTAAAACAAGCACAATTCATTGCATTGGACCAAAGTAGCGTTTCACGATGTAAGACCACACAGACAAATAATGAACAAAATGGGTGTTAATTTGACATTACAATCACAGAGAGAAAGCGAAACGAAGAAAAATCAAATTGTATATTAACGTTTGGTAGATTTTTATCACACACACAGCTTGTAGAAATCTTACAGCAAAAACGTGTTTCACAAATATTTCACTAAACCATCGTATATCAGAACAGTTTAAACAAGTTTAAATGTACACACCAAACCAAGCCTATCAAAAAAACTTACTCCAATATACACTACCAAGATGCGCCTTCTGATTCGATCTCCCCAAAAAATGCTTTCAGAAGTTACAGCTGCAAGTGCGTACATTCGCTTATGTGTGCTATCCCAATCAACCTACTCACTTATATAGCAGAGCCCAGCGTTATTGACATAGATTATGCCGACTGTAGCCGTCAACGCAGGGGGTTGCTTCGTGCGTATTTATTGTAATGCTAAGCTTTCGAAATACGTAAAGGAAACACAAAGTGGAAACCATGCATGCGTCAAAAATCAACGTTGATTAAAAGAGTTTGTTTATACAAAATGGGGAAGAGTGATGCGTGGCACAAGTGGGGATTCCTATTCAAATGTTTGGATGTAAAAGACAACATATTTCAGATGTTTTAGACTATTGTAAAAAGCAAGTAACAGCTACAAAAAAAACTCACTTCTCTTGCACAATGAGCTCAAAGATGTATTTTAAATACTGCGCAACACTAAAATCATTAGATGGTGTAGGGCAAAAGGCTTCCTCATTTTCCTTTGATGTCCTTAAAAATTCTAGAGTTTTGAGCGTTTACAGCGCAAAATCAAAAACTTTTGAAAGGTTATAATTTTCAATACTGCACGATGAGGAGAAAGCACAATTACTCTTTTGACGTTTTCATTCTGTTTCAGGTAAATCCTCTCAAATGCAAATGTGATCAATAAAATAATGTCAATGTAGGCATTTGATTTTAGAGAAGAGACAGTTGAAGGTTCCTCGAAGTGGAATTCTATAACTGTAAGCGAACAAGAAATGGTCAATTGAAATATCGAAAGCATCTGTTGACGAAGTTGGAAAAAAAAACTCCCAAAAAAACTATTTTCATTTTAAAGTCAATACTCCTTGCTTATATGTAAATACAATTATCTTTATGTCCAAAAAGCATTTGTATGAATTATGAATTCATAAGTGCATCATCCCACAGAAAGACATCACTCAAACCAGGGTAGTGAGAGATGCAGAAAAAGTTATGAAACGGTTATGTCGTGAATAATGAAAACCTCTTTAGATTTTTTACAGTTAACCTATCATAGAGTACTCGTTACATTACATTGGCAAAATCCAATTAATTATTGGCAGATCAACGTTGAAGCTAGTAATTTTGTGTGTCTATTTCAAGGATTATCAATTTTAAGTTCGTGCATTAGATCACGATTGGCGAAGCTAAAGATGTAATAACTTTTATTCACATCTATTAACTCACATCTATTAACTCACCAATATTATTCGCTAACTTTGTTATGCATGCTAGCTGGTACGAGCAACAAAACAAGAATACCTTTAAAATAAAAATTCAAACCAGCATTCATGGTGAAAAAATTTTAGGACTATCACAGGCGTGAAAGAAAATCGCGATGACGTCAAAAAAACTTAGTCATTCTCAGCCTCTCAAGTAATGTACTCTAAAGACAGACTTTAAAACAACATGATTTTCTTTCTACGTGATATGAAAAATGAAAATTTCATTGACTTTCATTTCTACATTCATGATTAACAATAAAATCAATACGCACTGACTCTTAAACCAATTTAGGAATCCAACGTAATTCCTGTTTTCACATGGTAAACGAAAAAGTTTTTGCCCACAGCGATAGACCACCATTTGTCAAAACCCACGTTGAGTTTTTTTAATGCAATAAAGCAGACAAAAAAAAACGCTTAAGAAAAAAAGCCACATGTTGCTTCGGTGCCAAAGATTGCAATATAAAAAAGTGTCTTTGTACGGGTACACATTATAAAGAATATGTAGGCCATTCAATGTGACCTTTACATCAATAGCACGTAGGATATACAATCGTGACAGCGGTAGCAATTGCATGCAGCGATAGAAAGCATTCTTTAATTTCGTTGGGACTAACAAAAACGATGGGCGTGTGTAGAGTATATGTCTCATTATTACTCTTGCTGTTCATATTCCTGGAATTTTTTATGATGTTGAGAATGTAGCAAAACGACGCTGTTTTTTAGGAATTTTCGATTACTCTCTAATTTTTTGAATTAAAAGTTGTGTGAAATAAGAACAACTGCGAGAGTTAATAAAAAAAGGCAAGCGTATTGAGTTTGAACAGGGGACACCTTTCATTTGAAGAATGTTCTAATACATACAACATCTCTGAACGTACTAATGTTAACCAAAAGTGACTTAATCGTTTACAAAGAGGTCCTCTTTATATCGCGCTTTTAAAGCAATATCAGTTTCAAAGAATTCGTTGAAATCGGTGCGTTCTCACAATTGCATTGTACTCAGTAACTCAGCAACAGGGAAAAAACCAAGCGACCAAATAATTCAAAAAAATCCGTCAAGTCATGTTGTGCAGCAAGATATCAATATTTTAAATGCAAATTTATCGTCGTAGTTTTAAAGATGTGATATGTTTTTCAAAGTTTTTTTAGATTTAAGTCATTGTCCATTTCATTCATTGAGAAGACAATACAGTGATTGGATGGTTAGCGATAAAATAACTAAGAATTTTTTAAAAACTATTTAGAATCTTCGTATATGCTTGTTAGCTACCAGCAGAAACTTCATTCTAAAGTCTAAACTCAAAGCTTTGCCGTAACGTTACTCAGAGCAATATGCAACAGATTTAAAAGGAAATTTCAGAAACTATTCAACGCAATTAAACTACGACCCAAAGATTATGAGAGCATAGTCTTTTTACGTCATAAAGCGAGATATTTTTGCGTGTGTGTATTTATGTAAAACATGTTTTTGTAAATCGTTTCTGTGTCGAGTTCTTGTTGATACAGAGTTTCTATTGACAACAGCGTTATTTTCTCAATTGATAAGAATATTTTGAGTAAACACAAACGTCTGCTCGGTATATCGATTTACGTCTATTCCTATTAAGTGGCGGAGTTCTTGTGTGGAAAAAAAACATAAACATAAGAGTCAATCAACGATAAATTTATTATGCTTACGTTGATGGAGCACATTGTAGCATAAATGATGGCTTACTTGAACTTAGTATGGAAAGCACAAAAAATGATAAAGGAAATTATGGCTTATAAACGTTAAAAATCTTTGGAAATGCATATACCCTCAAGGAGTTAACGCCCTGTTTTCAAAACGCAAAGTTTACAAGACTATAGGAAGACATTTCTAAGATTCCGGCTTTCGTTTTTTTGATAAACCCGCATAATGTGCTCCATTATGCACTTAAACATCAAGTAAACGCCTTCTCATCAGATAATACAAAGAAATGACTGCATTCTTAGAAACGTGAAGTATTTAGAGCATTTTTGTCATATAAATGTTGTAGGATTATGCATAGCAACACACACAAACATCATTGAGGAGTCATTGACGATAATTGTTTAGTTTATCGAAGGTGTTGGTCTGCAAAGTAAAAATAGTGCGATTAACTCACATTGGTTTCTTAAAACTATTGTTTAAATTGTGTACCTGGAGCCACACATTTTAATTAAACAAGTACTTCATGTTGTAAGTATTAAACATAGTTCAAGAGGGCTTTGGTATAAAAGATCAACAGAATTTTTTTAAATACCAAAATTGTTTTAACTGAATGCTGTCTAATATAAAATGTTGATATCGATACCCGTTCTTTGAGCGTGATTTTAGAATGACGGGTTGTGTAAGGTTTAAGCTGTTTATTTTTTTATTTTATATTGTTTTGCAAGTGCAGTTTTAAAATGACGTAAATTCTGTGAAGATTTCCCCTTAAAACTTGAAAGAAATCGTCATTAGCGACCCCGTATTTCCGTTGTCCTAGTATCTCGGTTTGGCAGATTTGAACTATCAACTAACCAGCAATAATCATGACATTACACGGCCTAATTCGTTTTATTAACGATATTAATGAATGGCATTATTTTTCGTTTATTTCACATATTGTAAAAAATTAAAAAAAATTGACAATAACATCTGTTGTCTACTGCACACTTTCTTATCTGAAAATTGGCTCATATTTGCAAATAAATGATCTACTCTTCAGTGACATAGCCGTGAATGAAGGCATTGTAAAGAAATAACGTAACAATGAGTTAAATACATAAGACATTAGCAATCATGTGGTCGATATATATTACTGTATTTTATAGATCATCTGTTTACCCATTTAACTGTATTTCATGCTCGATAACAATTTAATCTCTCATTATCCTAATTTGACAATGTTGTAAAAATAACATTACATACAGGGTGGCGTGCATGACATACATATGTGTTTAGGTAATTACGTTTACAGAACCAATTTGTGAGCACGTCAACACTCCTAGATGATTTTCACATTCTCGTATGAATACGCCCTATCTACCCATATTCAAACATACTCTACTCAATTTCAAATGATTTGATTATTTTGATCGAGTTTTAGAGGGTATTTACTCTTCACAACAGCTAAAACCCATCGCATTCCATTCTATATCTGTACCTGATGATTCTCAAAAATTATATTAATTAGACACTCATTATTACGATTATAGCCAAAGAATAATGCAAATACCTTTAACGTGAACGCAGTTTGTGTCAGCGTGTGCGCGTGACCTTCAAAAGAACAACGTTCTATGAGCTGCGAATGCTTTAGACTTGACTGCCTCAACAAGGCTGAGACTGAGTGAAAAAACTGACAACGTGTATATTCAAATGTAGGCAAGTTGTGGCCTGTGATTGGTTGAAATCGGTGAGCGGCGATCGCCATATTAAATGACGACAAGGGTGATGATTGTCATCAATCATAGTCGCGTGTGTACATGTCACATATGATGGACTGTTTAAGTATATATGGTCCTTAATTAAGAAAATCTACAGTAAAGTAACAACATCTTTAGGCATTGCATCAAACCAACGATCTCTGCGCATTACATATGTAAATTTAGGTGAACTTTACCCCATTCCTATTGGTCGAACGAATAAAACGCAAACATTACGCAAATGAAACAATGTCGAGCCATAGACGTCAAGTATCTACGATCTATCATAAAAATGTCTTTGTTGTGATCTTCGCTATCTTACTGAAACAAAGTACATTTTGACATGCGCGTCTCGCTCCGGAACTTAAGAAATGTAATGACGTCAAGAAGACTTGGACCATTCCAAATTGCGGTGGAATAAGACCATTGGAAGCTTAAGTATCAAAATTGCGCTTACATGGATTTAAGCTGAAAGACCACACGAACAAAGTCGCATAAGGTTGCGTATTTTGAAAACTTCAATTAAGAGTTGTTTTTTCAAGCGTGGGAGGAGATATGCGTCATTATCTTCGAAAGCTTTCACTTTGCTTGTTTTTATTTTGTCAAACATGCAGCTCAAATTGAAATAAAATAAACATATGTTTCGTTCTATTTGGATAATCTTCACATCGTGAAGCAGATATTAACGCAGGCTATATTAGACAAGTACTGTTTACGGTTCTCACCCAGATAAGCGCGCCAACAAAACGCTGTGCGCGTCTGCATTGCAAAAAATGCGTGGTATCCGTGGATAATGAGGGATTACACTCGAACACTTTTCATTAGTGTTTTGATAAGGAATTTGGCAACAATTCTCGACGACTAATAAAACATTAAATCAGAAATTTCATTCTATTGATAAAATCTTACATTGTTCTGCACAAAGTTTTCATTGTCCAAACCGGAGCGTCTATACATAACACAAATAGCAGATATCTTATTTCGCAGTTCAGTATAGCGCGCGAACAATTTGCTCAGCAAATTATCAAAAACAAATTATCTTTTTTTTTAGTGAAGACTTAGAGACCAGAAGAAGTTTTAGACATACTTTGTATTAACAAATGATGGTCTTAAGCGATAACACATGCTTATTGTTCTTATACACATTTTCGTTATGACTGAGAGATGAGATTCTTATCCATGTGAAGATGCATAACTTTTGGAATGTTGAAATTTTTATCCGTCGGTATCTGTGAAATCAGATCATTCTTTACTCTATCGTCAAGATCGTGTGTGTGTGTGTGATGACGAAAAAGAATGCAATGTGATTTTTTTGCGAACAAAAGAGACCAACTATAATAGAGCGTGCTAATTTTCTTCCTTACACGCAGGCGTGGTTTTTGAATGCTTATAGCTCCTGCGTGAAAGCTATACTCAACAAAAAACTAAAACTTAACCCTAGCTATAAGAAGCTCTTCGTGTATTTGCAGTACTGAAATACCAAAAATAACGAAATAAAGGACTTTATTGGGATATTCACTAATTGACTTTCACTTTTAACAAAAGGAATTACGGCCTGTACAATTCTTTCCTCCCTATAAAGTAAAATTGTGAAACTAATCCCTTTATATGAATAACTAACATTTTATAAAAGTGTTAATGATGCTGTACATTTATGAATTTATCGCCTTCTCTATAATTGGAAAAGCAGTCGAATTTTTATCATCTTAATGCATGTGATTATTAGGTCCTTGAAATCATTTTTATCTTACACGGTGCCACACACTTTAGAACGGTGACGACGTCTTACAGATAACAAATCACAGAGCATGCCATTTTGCTATATTTTACCCATAGCCAATGAATAATGTAAAATTTCGTGCATATAAACGAATCCACAAGGATTGGACGACTTAGTGGTGCATTTGTATTGGATTAGAGTGCTTAGAACTGTTTCGACCCCCTTTAAAGCAGACAGCTTGTTTTGTATAAGGCGATCATTTTGTAACATATCAGTACTGATGCAATAAGCACTTGAAGCAACTAACGTCAATGCACTTCATTTGTAGACACATGTAATACTTAGGTAATAATCAATCACTATTTTTATGTGTAGATTACTGTGAAATTTTATCAAAATCTTCAGCAATGACCATCTATACATAAAGATGCTAGTATAGCAGCCGACGCTGTTGCATAAGCTAATATATTTCATCACTAAACAAGTATGTTTTCATAACCACAATAAGTTGTATTATATTTTAGCCTCATTCGCCTTCATGTATAGCGTTGGGCGTGCTTAAATCTTAAAAGGGAAAATTACTAACGATGTCCAGACTTGAATGAATGAGGCAGGATTTCATGCTGTATGTACTAGTCACAATAAAAAATGGTTAGTAAACGCTTCAAGGCAGGGTTATATCAGAAAGACCACATAAAAATTTGGGAAGAAAATGCTGTTTTTATTTATAAAACGTTATTTATAGACGCTGTTGAAGAAAGTGTTTGAAAAACAACTTAATACCTATGCACTCATATAAACATGTTTTACATAAGGTTAAAGTTTCTTTGGATTACAGTCGCCCCAAAGGCAAACAACTGCACTGACAGAAAATGATTTTCAATGAGTGATTTTTCAAATAACCACTACCTCACAACATGCGAACATAAACACGCACACATCCTGAAGGATAAATGGATTTTGCAAGTAAAAACATCAACCGGTAGTCAGGTAGCTATGAATATAGGTCAACCCACGGTGGTTATGTATGTTTATCTATTTTGTATTTTTTTCCTTAGTTATATCTTTTAGGATATCGTTGTTGGTATAACCATGTGTGATTTATGAGCAATGCAAAAGAATGAAAACATAATTTCTTTCATATAATCAAGTAAAATCGTCACAACTAAAAGAAACAAACTTTAAACGTTGAAAAAAATGAGTTTGGTTGCCTCTAAGTAACATAATTAAACCTATTTCACTCTAAAATTCATAGACCAGCTAAAACCCTTCTATTTGTGTCCTCAATGTTTACTATAATCCCACCTAAAACTTTTTCAAAGAGCCAACTTGCTGACATTTAAGGTCCATGAAAAGTTTTGCATTGAAAAGACTCATAAGTGCAACTGACTTTCACCCTGGGAAAGTGTCATTATGAAATCAATATTTATTACTTTTTGGGAAGTAATAAGCAAGTATTTAGAAAGTACGATCAAAATACCTTTGCACAGAGAGTAGCTATATATAGCTGGTTAAAAGTCGGCCGTATTTTTTTTACCCTTTAACATTTAATCCCCCCTTAACTACATGTACGAAAAGACACGTAAAACGTCTCCGGTGGCAAACTCTATAAACCACGTGACATGATACGCGTGAAAGGTGATTGGATGAAAATAATTTTTCAAGTTTTTCTGCACCGTCCCCTCTTAGCTACATGTACGAAAAGACACGTGAAACGTCTCCGGTGGCAAACTTTATAAACCACGTGACATGATACGCGCGAAAGGCGATTGGATGAAAATAATTTTTCAAGTTTTTCTGCAACGAATAAAATTGGTTTACTTATAGCAATATAGCTGTTTTCATTTTGGTTAATTTTATTCAGACAATAAATCAGTGCATGTTTGACAGTTATCATATACTGAAAATGGCGGGCGTTTGTTGAATATTTACGACCCCTAAGTGTCTTAGTTTAGCAGCATATACCCCTGAGTGTACCTTGTAAACTATTATTCGTTTCTTTCACCATGAGCTTTTAGTTTTACAGAAGCTCCACACATGAAAAACATGCTCCTTCTTAAACATAACACTATCGTCTAATGTATTGTTTCAAAATGCATCAGATCTCAGCACTCTCATTTTTCAGCGCTCACTTCCTTATTCGTCGAGTTATTTGCATCCGAATAATACAAAAGAGAACTTTGAGAGCTCCTCTATATCCGGAAACATGCGTAAATAAAATGTCGAAGAAACGGTTTGCGGAATAGGAAGAATTTTGGATCACGATAACAACCGTCAACTTGATTTCAAGCCAATTTATAAGATTGTTTATTGCAAAATAAAGAATCAATGCTAAATATTAAACTTTAGAGTTATTTGTTTCTTCATCGTTTCTAAAGCTATAAGTTAACGAAGCAATGGACATTACGATTAATGATTCTCAAGGTATAACTCATTGATTAAAATCGCAGAGCCTCCTTGAGCAAAATCAGTATAAAATTTAGGTGCATCCGAAATATCTCGTATACTATAGCTACATAGAAGAAATATTCAGACTGTGAGTTTTTTTTACCACAGGCATTGAGGGTGCGAATAACAAATTACGTGAAAATGCTTCATAAAAGAGCTGGTGCTTTGAAATATATTCTATGAAGCAAATTGTTACATTTAAGAAAATGATGTGCGCGAAATTCTCAGTGAGTTACACAAAAACGGTCATGCATCTACACTTGATGTATTTCACACAAGTACGTAAACAAGTCGTCAACCAGTGTTCCATAATCTACAACATTGACTTTCAAAGAAAATCGAAGGTAAAATTGACCAAAAAGATGACTTACCAAAGCCAGATGAGCAAAGAACAAAGAGATGAAAAGAAATCGTACCTTTGAAATTGAAAAGTGGATACTCTCAACAATAACCTTCTTCATGAAGTGTCGACTGAAAAATACTGATGAAAAATGTGCACTCGCTCTCTAACACTTTCTGAAGTAGAGTTGTTTTTTCATACAGACTTAACACAAATGACGCACACACGGCTAAAACTGACGTACAAAATTTCCTATCTGTAACAATGCCAATGATGTAAACATAGACAACATGGTGAACTTTTCAATTTAAGCAATGAATCTTTTTACTCGAGCTAAAAGACACTTCCAGTTTTTGTTGAAATGAATACAAAACAAAAGCACAAATTTGGGGTGCACACCGTCACAATCATTTAATGACTTGTTTTGACTGAGGGAGACAAAATCGGAAGTGTCAGTGACTCGCAATTCGTAGGAACTGTTTTTAGGAAGAAAGAAAATTCGAAGAAATAAATGGTTGATGTGCAAAACATTAGACGCCGTAGGAAAATACCATGCTGTTAACTATCTATTCGCGGGAAGAGAAATGTTTATGTTCAATTAGCATTGTAAGTATATCTTAAATGACAAAGTTTTCATTGTTCAATAAATGACGTAAGTGTATGTCACATGACCGCAACGTGCTCAAGATTTGTGTGGGTGAACAATCACAAGATAGTGTTTTTGCTGCATGCTTTTGAAAAACGGATAGATTTTTGCGTTGATGTCACACTGACTTCCACTTGATTTAGAATAAAGAAAGTTTATGACAGATTTTTACAATAATCTTACAGCCAAATGTGTTTGTATTCATAATTTCTTGTGTTAAATGAGCGCTTCAATTCCAGAATGAAATTGTAAAAAGTGAATAGAGAGCTCAGAAAATAATAAAATCATTTATAAATATTGTCTCTGCTGTATGGCATAATCTTAAATGAAGGTATGATCTTCGCACTTTGCTGGACAATTTAAGCAATTGTCTCATGAACCTGAAAAATTCAGGTGACTCAACGGGATAATCTTGATGTCGTGTAAAGTTAATGATGAATGATGAAAACAAACTCTTCTTTCTACATGAGCGTAAATGTCATTAGCCATAGAGTCACTCAATGATCATATAACAATATATTTCTATAGTGTCTTGATGATGTGCTTCACAAAGGATTCTTATATATACAAGTTGTTGTACAAAACAAACATAATAAAAGTTCACATACGCTGAGAAAAGGAAAGGAGCAATTTATAAAACTTGCGAAATATATGCTCTGTTTGTTGTCCTTAGCTATATAATGATCATAAAGATACTTATCCACCAAAAAAAACAATGAAATATCAAGCAATCTTGTGAACGAATCAATTATAAACACAATATTTAATCCGAGTGCTTTTACAAGTCCATAGAGTTAAGATACAAACTAAATAAGCATCAATAGCTTTCGTTTCTCTCTCTTGTTTATTTTTTAACCTATCATAGGGTCAACATACCAACGTGTTACATGTCATTAACACCTTAGTTCTCATGTTCAATTATGAAGGGTAAAAGTTACGGTTGTAAATAAAGACATACGCCTGGAAAATTTCAAATATAAATATATATATAAAAAATGCAAAAAACAAAACATTAAATTTGGGTAGTTCAACTGTGTAATGCTCAAAAACGTTTGCCATTAAAGTAAATTGCGACAATCTACAGTTTCAATTACGTCAGAGCTAGCTAATGCACGAGGAATTCTTTCTCAAGAAGCGATGATTAAATGTCGGTTGATTTAACACATTAACACCTAGATTAGTGTGTTTTTGTGGAAGCGAGGCTCTTTATAATAACACCGCGTTACATTATGTTCATTTTTCCATTCAAGTTTAGAATTAAGTTCTCTTAAACAGGTGTCTGCCCACGTTTTTGCTTGTTTAACGATGAATTTTGATCAATTCAATCGGCATTTAGCAAAACCAAGCGATTGACAGCAAAACAAATGATAAACAATATAGGACTGATTAAAATGAGAGTGCTCGGTTTTGTTTGCAAACGACGCCAACCGCTTTATTTAATATAAATATTGCAAAGCAACAAATTTTCATGTTTATAAAAATCTATATTTAAAATGTATTTTTATTAAAAGACAAACTGTAGAGGTAGTTATACTGCAATGAATGCACAACATAGTTCTGTAGTTTTTTTCAATTATTGCATTCCTGAGTTTTTATGCATTTGACTGGGGTATAATACAAAAAACATCAAGTTATGTGTCATTATGTTCTGCAGTAATAAAGACCACTTGAAATATTAGCAAGCATGTGAACTACCCTTCAAGAACAGACAAGAGCTTAGCAGCAACTACGCGCGGAAACAATCACACATGGTATAAAAAATTGCCCTATAAAGATTTGAACATGTGCCTCTTTGATCCCACGGGTCCATAGTTTTATCTCTTAATGTATAACTTATCCCCACAAGACTATAGCAGCATAATTTTATTAATGCGAAATCAGTTCGAGTCTATTTCAGAAAGTTTTTCCTACGTCTCTTTGTTATACTCCACATCAAAATATTGTGCTGATGGTTTTGAAATACAATCAAATGCAACTTTACATTGAAATCATCATCTTCAATGACTATATACACACATATTTCTCTAATAAATGTAGAGCTATGTAACTGAGATATAAACTTTTTACTTTAGTCTAAACCAATTCATTTAACTCAAATAAAAAGACGATGCTCAAAGCAAAGAGTTAGACTGAAGAGTTACAGTGAAAAAACAGTTAAAATGCTAAGAACATAGCTGATTTGGATATTTATCTCCAGTTAATAAAGGCGGTGTTGGTTAGATCTCTAGATGGCGATGTGCCTACATTTACATTAACCAGGAATGCATGAAAAATTCGCATTGCTGTTACCTTGCTTTTATCTTTATCTCCTGTATGTAAATACACACTACTTCAGTTTTTTAACTTATTATATTGCTAATGAAGAAACTTATATCACTGTTTAGAATTTTGAGAATCGTAGCTAAAGATGTGGAGAGCGGAAAGAGTCTTTCAAAATTCAAATACCAAAACTACGAACCAAAAATATATATATATATTTATTATGATATACAAGATAACATAATATATACTAGTCAATTTGATAAAATACGTACGAATAATGTGCTAAGTTTAGCCTATTTCAGTATTTTGTCATTTTTGCTGTGTTTCGAGGTGGAATTAACCTACCGCTGATTAAGAAGTAGATGAATTTTTGCAAGTATGATAAAATTATAAGCAAATAAAAATAGGTACGCTTTGTCATAAGCGCGTTTACATTTAGGGCTACACCCAGTTAATAATGTAGAAGATAATGGCAAACAAGTTTCAAAGCTTATAACTTCAACCGAGTAAAATAGAAAAGGATTTACGATGCCGCGATCATAAATAGTCATCATTTGCATTAAAGTAGGTGTAGTTTAGCAATAGGTTCAAGCAAACTGCAGCAATTAAAACTTTGTAAGAACTTTCTGTTACATCATTTCATATAAAACTTCGGATATTTTGGTACATATACCCAGGTAATTACTCAGAATAAAGTTATAAAAATGAATAAATCTACTCGTTCAATCTTCTACTTCACGTAAATGTCATTATTGAACGTTGTTTCCCTTCAACTGCCAGAGCGCGAGCTATTTGTTTTAAAACCTCGACAAGGTTATTTGAAACGATAATTTGAAGTGTAGGCAAACACGATGTTAAGTGGAACATACTGCGCAAATAAATATCCGTGTTACATAAAGTATAGTGTGGAAGTTACAACATAACAGTCGCTTCAGTCACTTGTGTAGTTTACCAATGCGCATTTTGTTTTTAATATTGAGAGAAGATATGGTTTAAAAACCTTTTACGTTTTTGTTTCAGCAATAACTTCAACTCGGATATATGATGGGCCAAGATTTTTTAAGCTGAATTTGAATGTTAAAAGCGTCGTATTCAAAGTAGGTGCAATTAAGAAAATATTGGCTCGTTGAGTGACTGATCTGATTATAGTTGACTACAACGCAGGATTTTACAGGGTATCTTTAGAAAATATGGGTGAAAATTAATGTTTCAAAAACATACAAAACATTATCATGAGTCAAAACATTATCATTTAGTTAATACTAAACAAATCTAACCTGTTGCTAACCTGTTGGACTTAAGATTATCCAGGAACTAAATCCAGATGAAAATGATCAAATCCAAGTCTGCAAACAAACAAATGCACAAGAATGAGATGCTGCACGGCGATGAAGAGACTACACGAGAAGACTAGAATTCACTAGATTAATTGGGCAAATTCCATTCACAACTCCCATTAGTCGAGGCCTAATAGCATGCAAAAGGAAACACAAGCCACTTCGCCACATCAAATTGAAAAGTCGCGGCTCATTAAACATCGTATCTTTCTTCTGTCGCGTTACATACGTCAGAGAATACAAAGCCTTTTTAACTAACACTTCTGTATCGGCGACGCAACTTGCGAAAACAATTAAACGATTAAAATAGACACAAATGATTTTGGTGTTATGAATTATTCGCTCGTCTTTAACACAGCGGTAAACAAAGTTTGCTATTTTGTACGCTAACGACCATGCTGTTATTAAGATAAAGGTTAATTGCGTAATTGCCGTACATTCTTAGCCCATGCCAAAAACGTGAATTGAACGGCGAAGGCTGCACGTGTAAAGATAAAATAAAGTATGTTAGAATGAAGCTTTCCCCCTTCTTCATTCAATAAAAGATGTGCTTACTCCGAATATTTTTAATGATTCTGCACGGGCATGGTGGAAGCAGACAGCTATTTAGCTTGCACATTTTACGATTAAACATTGAACTATAGTTGAATAAACACATTTTACGATTAAACATTGAACTATAGTTGAAAACTCTTGCGATCACATCATTGGTATATAGAGGGCTGTTACCCGACAATCGATATTTAGTTATGTACCCACCCACCAATTTCTATATCAACTTTTTATCAACAAGTTGAAAATATGAAGCTTTTATTTGAGTATTGGAATATTCAAACAATTATATAATTGGCCGTCTCAAATACGCTCCGAAGAATGCTTTTAAAAATCGCACCCATTTTTTTTCGTGGCTATTGTCTTGAAGGAGAGTTCCCATTGTAATTGCATTGTTATATAACAGCAAGAAACGACCTTTAAAAGATCCCGCGTGAAAATTACGCGTGTATTTATTGACTTTGAATAAACCCAAGCGTCCATTCGTATGCAAGTTGGTGATTTCAGGTTCTCTCGTGCGAAATACATGCATGGAATGTTTGTACGATAATCAAGATGCGAACAAAGATTTCTATGAAATGAAAATCTCGTTTGACAGTATGATAAATCTCCAGACAAGAGGGAGCCACATAATATGTTGGTGACACGCAAATCGTTGGTTGGTAAGGCCAGCATTAAGATATCGCCGCGATACTTAAAACCACTGAAATGTATACCACAGCTCAAATTATATCTACCGATATGAAACTGTGAAAGGTTATGACAAAGACAAGCGGAACTGTGTGTGGTTTATCGCCAGGTTGTGCGCTATTTTATAGACAAAGATGTAGCATAATTGCCTGCAGACAGGAATATACTAAGAATTTTATTGATCATGACTACAATTCAAAATATTCATCCATATCTACAGATAAAGATAACATTATAAATCGTTAAGATGTTTGTCTGTAAATAGCATACGTACAACAATATACGGAGACTCTTCCTAGAGTACTAAATTTTCTCTAAATGCATCAATTAACCTCCCTTTGTCATGTCAGAACAAAATGTCGACTGTATTTGTACAAATAATTAGCGTCCTTCTTTGACATTACTGTGCTTCGGTACATTTGCAGGCACATCTACTAAACTTCCCAAAAGAGGTTGATATAAAATGAAATTGAGATGCAACTAAAAGGGAAATTTCTGCTTGGTGGCGTTTGTCATGATTTGTACAAAGCGCTATGAGAGTAACGCGAACAGCAACAAAGCTTATTGGAACGTGGCTAAATGCAAATCACATACTTTAAAGTCTCAAATATTTAAACTATACATAGTAGTTGGGGTTTTTGAGCTATTACTAAATACTCTACGTCAATTTACTAACGAACTCAATTCGACATAATTGAAAAAAAACCGAGAAAAAAACATTCAATCTAAAATTGATATCACAACATGCCCTTACACATGCTGGTCTTTCAAAAGAACCAGAAGTACGTCAAACCCATTATAGAAAAGACGTCAAATCAACCACAGGTTTTATAAATAGCATGAATATTTTAAAGTTTTGGCAAGTTCTGAGTTTGTTTTTATAAACTCTAGAAATATCCAAACAAAAAGGTCAAGTTCGTTCAAAGGCAAATGATCGCCACAAATAGCATGCAATAACCATCGCCAACCTAGTGACACCTTCACAAACCCTGACCGATGCCCAATAAATAACCCGTCGCCAACCCACTCACACCTTCACAAACCTGACCGATGCCTAATAAATAACCATCGCCAACCTAGTGACACCTTCACAAACCCTGACCGATGCCCAATAAATAACCCGTCGCCAACCCACTCACACCTTCACAAACCCTGACCGATCCCCATTAAAATAACCCGTCGCCAACCCACTCACACCTTCACAAACCCTGACCGATGCCCAATAAAATAACCCTTGCCAACCCACTCACACCTTCACAAACCCTGACCGATCCCCATTAAAATAACCCATCGCCAACCCTCTCACACCTTCGCAAGCTCACTAATAGTACTCAATGAGAAAATATCGTATAGAATCATTTAAACTACTATAAAAGGTTAATGGAATTCATTGTGAATTGCAAGCAACTTATTGTTCACTTTATACAGAAAACAAAGAATTAACGTTATCAACAATATTCAAAATGGAAAGTGTGTGATAATATGTAAAGTGCACTTGCAATTTTATTGTCTATATTGGTATGCTGACAAAGTATTGAATGACATGTGGACCAAAATGGCATGTTGATCGAAGTTGGTGCATTTAATTGTATATACTACACCATCAATAGACAACACAGTGTTATCAAGAGCAAGCAAAATGCATTATACCTTTAGGGCTATGCGAACCACGATTAATGACAACGATTCGTGTTTATGAAGTTCTGAACCTTCTCTATGTTTTTGTGTTTTTGTCGTAATAGAGAGAATTACGATCGATGAACAGGAAACCAAAGTCCTTGATCATTAACTTTATTTAATATAGCAAAGACATGTGCTACATTATAGAAACCAGATTGCACACAATCTCTCTATTCTTTTAGATCTTTAGTTCCAAGGATAAACCATAGTTGACTAGGTATAGTTAAATGTAGCAAAGATGATGTGCTTCATTAGAAACTCGATCTTTTTATTTCTTTAAAGAGCGTAAAATTAAGGGCGATCCATATTTGTTGAGTTGTACAAATGATGTAGTAACAAAAAGAACAGGCAAAGGAAATATCATTTTCAACTTGTAGAATCGAAAAACACTAATGAAATAACGATAGAAACGTTCTCTCGCAAAAAGATCCTTGTAGTTCTTTCTAGAATGTCGTGAGTATAAATCTTCAAAACACTCCACTTATCACCAGGACAAAGACCTTAGGGGATAAAGAAGAATCTCAGCCATTTCCGCAAGGAGTACAATAATTGAGCAAGTAATTTCTGAAATGGAAAAACATGTCATGGACGCTGAGAATGGAATCGTCTAGAACACTCTAGAAAGTTCGAGGTTTAATAGATCGTGATCTCGTCTTAAATTTTATTTATTCCTTACATTTGGCTGTTACTCTGGACTTTTAAAGTAATGAAGGTCCTGAGGAGAGAGTCGTGTTTGAAACATGCTTGTCGCAGCATATGCAGATTGTAAAATCAAACACACAGACATATTTCACCACGCCGATTAGATACTCGGACGAACAAATAGAGATGCCAGCGGCACTGTCTGCCTTCTAGTGCTCAAACACATGTGTGTTTACAATTCATACAATCTTTCTCAGTTGGAGCTTTTCGTGTTTAATATCCACTTATGCGACGGAGATTGCATGGAAAATTACAGTTCTTTGTTTGCTCAATGCACAATAAAGAGAAACAAATCACTAGCAATAGTCAATGCCGAGATGCATGTTGAAGCAATGGTCACGTGTTTATAGCCAAAGCTTAAAACAACGAAAAGACATTTAAGAGACAACACAAGATGTAGTTTATATGTTTGGAAATGTTTGGAAATATACAGAAGAAATAGAGAGAGGATCACAAACAAATGAGAAAGAGCTCTTGTAACTTATATCACTTCAATTACAGCACGAAGTTTACTGAAAAAAGCAAACTAGAATCCAAAACACTTCACAATAGTGCACACTGCTGTTTGATAGTGCGTCCAAAAAACCAAAAATTAATGGGAAAAGTTTATTGCCACATCTATTTGATGTTTACCGCCCTGTGGGAGATAGGATCTGCACAATCAAACCTTTCAATTCCAGCTGATATTATTTCGTGACCTAATTCACAGGTACTTTGCCTAATTGTGCATTTCCATTATCTCAGATTATTAGAGATGCCATTCAACTAGTCATGTCGTGAACGAGACTATGACTAGGCATGCAACGTCTCAAGACATTACCATCAAAGCTTCATGTTCACAGCTTGAACCGTTTGGGTATCATTTGCATTTTCATTCCAGCTCCAATTTTATGATGAAGATTTTTGCTCAAGATTTATAGCAACCTATCCATATCTCATACAGACAACGTCTATACTTTGCTCTTCATTTTATCGATAGCATGTATAAATTATCCATGATTCAATTTCAAATAAAAGGAGTTGGGTAGAGAAGCTAAAAAACTTTAACCTAGCTGTTTGTCGATTTTTCAGTCGTTTTCTCGTTTGGTTTCTAATCCCTGTCGATTTTTTAAAATCAATATTGGTCAGTACATCACTGTCAATAAATCCTGTTGGTTATGTATATTCATGAATATATAGCGTATTTGAACATGTTTTCAACGGACGAATGATCACTTCCACAAGTTACACTAAGCTTTGGGATCGATTCTTAGACTAAATTTATCATATGATTATGTATATAAGACTCTGCACTTAAAAGAAAGATATTTTCCCAAATTACGGATGACGTATCTATGCCCCATGAGCACAGCAGCCCCTTACGTCAACACATACATTCATCGATATTTTCAACAATTTACACGTGTATTGACCAAGTTGCATGATAGGAATTTTCCGACGCCCGTTCTTTAGTATCACGCTTGTTTGATGTTGATCACATCAATATATCTACAGGTTTATACCATCGATTCTGAATACGAGTCATGAAATTTCTGTGGCGGAACAACCAGAGAAAAGATTGTGACCAAAACAGAATTTAGGATTCAATGTTCTAATCTAGTAAGATGCTAGTAGGAAGTTCACGGGTTAATAAACCTATGGAGAGTAAAACTCCGCGGCCATACTCGGTGTATTTTTCTATACGTAAGTTCTTATAACCGTGCAATTTTCATTATATACGCAGTTCGCAATTTTCTGTCTAAGAAAAGTGGTGGTAATTTTTCCTAAAAAGATGTAGAAAAGGATTATAGAAAAGTACTTCAAATGGGAGATTAAATCTACTCCCGTGTCCTTTGTCGTAAGACATCTATCTTATGGTGAAACTGTTGAATTACAAGACCTCGTCATGTCTTATTCTAACTGAGCTCACTTAGTGGCAAGAAACAGAAATGACAAGATCAAAGTGCCAAATATTAGAAGACCCGTAAAGCAAATTCCATGGAACACAGGAGACGCTATGCATACAAAAGATTGATATTTTTCTTAAATTGCCAGACTGCAACAAATGGACGTTTGAGCTACACCAAAAATAAACACTCAATGACAAAAATATTAATTCGCACAAATAAATTGGGAAGAGTTTTAAAGCAATACACATTCATTAGAAATTTACTGCACATCAATGTTCCAAAAACAACATGATCGAATGTTCTATTGTAAAATAAACAGACCAGGGGCGAAACTAGAACGCTAATTGGGGTAATTATTCGTGTATTCATCTCTGCCCTGCTGACTTCTCTTAAAATTAACAGCGCAAACAAAAGAAATCAGCAGGGCAGAGCTGAATATATGAATACATATCCCTACAATTAACGTTCTAGTTTCGCCTCTGAAACAGACGTGTAGGTATGAAAGCTAAATTTTAAAATTCAAAATAGATTTTGCCTCTGAAAGTTTGAGACTGCATCCAATTAGATGATGTCGTGTAAGCAATAAATTTGATATGACTTAGGTCCGCGACAGACAGACGGAGAGTTTCTAGATTTTTCCAGTGAGAACCATTCATTAGTCTTAAAATAAACCTATCCCAAAGGAATGACAAACGTCAAGAAAATGCTTTTGCTAATTGGAAAGTATGGCAAGTGGGAAGCATATCTTGTACATATTTAAAGTTGGATTTTATTTAGCGCGCTACATAAAACGTGAATGCAAGGATATGCAGAAAGCCTTCATGATGACAGAAAGTTTCAGCGCTGCTGAAATTTAGAAAACAGATTAACAAATACAAATATTTTCATGTAAAATCCGTTCCCTCTGTACATTGACTACATTCTAGTCCCTTCTTAGGAAGGAGCAAACAAATGTGCAAACACTATTTTGTACGAAAGATTTAAATTAAGCCGGTTGTAAAAAGCTAATTACAATAATAGGCGCGCGCGTTTCCTGTTATTCATTTTAAATTTTTGTAGCGAGCATCACGTTATGAAAAACACGCTTGTGAATCAAAATAGAGTGCCAAAAAACGTTATTTTCGTGATAAAACGTGCAGCCAAACGTGTAACAGCAATATTCTCCTTAAAAGTAGTAGTACTGGCAAACTAAAGCTGACTATTTATTTATTTCGCGTGACGCTTGCGTGTTTTAAAACAAATAGCTACGAAATCATCGAATTGTACATGTGGACCGCTTATGCGTAGGTAAAATATTGAAAAGTTACCAATGTGCACATAAAAAAATACATAGATGCTTTAAAACGTACTTACAATTTCAAAAAGTCCTTTTTCTTCGAAACGTTTTAAGATAGCGCGTCGATGGTTGCTTCAAACACTAAAGAAATGATTGATACATTTGAAATGAAGACGATCGCGGACAGCCAGACGGAAATCGGTAGGAAATCGGTAGGTGGAAATGTTTTAATGTATGGTTCAATAGTCCATTCAGTCGGAAAATCTCTCAACACCTCGTACAGACGTAGCATCAACGTCATAGTAACTTGGCACACAATAATTTACTTATGTCAAGTACTATGTTAAATACAAAACATGGGGAGTTTACTGTGCTCGAATGACGCCGAAAGGAAAAGCAACGGAAATACGAATTATTCTGAAATAGAATGTTGAATATCGATACTTGGGTTGCTTGCCTGTTGGAAAACAATTTCTATCAGCTCTGTGACGACTGATGACAGACGTATAACTGCGTTGACTATAGATATGAGCTTTTGTGATTAGTACTAACTAGGAACGCATGCCGCTTTGAATGTAAACAAATGATGAAATTACAATGTGTTGAAGCCATATCCTGCATTTTGTAAAAAACGTGTTGATATGACATGCGAATACTTCATATCATCCTTCATAAAACGCATCCTGCGCTGACGTAAGTGACGGCCTCGACCAATTAACAAATTAAAACGTTACTTCACAAATTCCTATTTTTAATTTCATATGAAAACATAAGATTTATGTCAAACATAATTTAGCATGAGCGCACATTATTTCATAGTATTCATCCTCGATTTGGTTCCTTCATAGGAAATAAGTTCTGTTTCTCGATCCTCGCTCGCAGCAAGTACAACAAAATGTTTATGAAGAACGCAAATTATGCAAATGAATGCATTCGTGATATGCGGTACATGAAGTTGAGATTATGGTTGTTGTATGAGAATTTCTGTGTTTCAGTTCTATAGTCTTTCGGAGGATGACAGGTTACAGGTGAAAATTAAAAGAAATGCAGAAGTAAATAAGATTTGGCTTATTACATTACAACTTACTTTGGTTAATGTGAGACGTTTTACAGCCCATCTAATCCGATTAAATATTTGCGTAGACGAAAATGTTTGAGGTTTAAGTATTTATGACAAACAGTTTATTTTTATTTATAGATCAACAGCATGTATTTGTAAGTACTTCACAATCAGCTACGTGAACTATTACTTAATTCCCAATGAGAAAACAGTTGCCTGGTTTCTGTATTTTCACAATTTCTAAATTGAAAAAAGCGTTGTGAACGGAAGTGTTGATATTTGAAATACTTGGATCAGCGTTTGCGGTTTCCTGATCCGCAATAATCGGATGTTATTTTCGGCCTCCAGTTTATTTGGAAAAATATTCAAACCATCAATTTGAAAAATTCAATACCGCCGTGAACACAAAACCTTTAAAGCATTTCGAGTCCTTGCGGTGAACGCATTTTGAAAACTTCGATTTTATTTGTGAACAATTCTTTCAAAGTATAAGGGGGAAATTTCGAGTGAATAAAGACCAAACAGGTTTTTGCTTTAGCGTACGTATAATAAATCGGGTGTGCTTGATTAATCCAGAAGTGTTCATTCACAAATGATTTCTTACCTTTAACAAGTCACAACCGACGCTCGAAGATGCACAATCAATTTCACGAGCAAACGCCTGACTCCAACACCAACAGTTGTCCAAGCAAGAACTGATCGAGCTTCGTTGTAGCTCGTTGCTTTTATACCTGTGAGGTGACCCCTACATAAATTTGAATAATTACGACTTTCAAATGGAAGCATGATGTAACAATACTAACTATCTAGATTTAATTAATCGCCGAGTAGGATAAATCGTTTGAAGTACGTGGAAAGCTGTAATGACAGAACTTATCAACATCGAGATAAGACAACTCTCTTATAAGACGCTAACTTGGAGATAACAAGTTGATATTTTCATTTAATCGTACACCTGCCGGAATATTACTCGGGAACAAAGAGAACATTAGCTTCATTCTTATAAAAAATAGGACTTCCAAAAAGGCATTTCCCGTACCACTTTCCACGTTTTTTAGTGTGTTTGCATATTTGACATCGTAAAGCAAGCAAGGGAAAATGTTTTGTAATGTCTCAAAGATATTTATAACTATTTCAAAGCTATATTTGAACTGCTTTGGGTTCTATTGACATGTCTTTAGTATGCATTGAAAAAAAGCACATGTACGACATGTTTTTCTCATATCTCAAAACTCCATCAACAAACGACGACAAGAAGTTGCAGTAAAATAAACACAATTAAATGATAACTATCGCCGCGGCCATCCAGCTGAATGATTAAAGCTGTCTTTTTAAGGTTTTTCTAGTCTGTATTGTTTTAAAAATAACGGGAAATGATGTTGCAATTATCGGCGAAATGTTCCCGAGCAGTTAAATAGTAAAAAACATTCAACAATTTGTAGATGTGCTGCAGAGTATGTTGAAGATCACGTGGGATGTGCGTGGGTTTTATTACAGGTGCGTGATTTCGAGACTTTTGTCAAAAGGAGGTGTGGTCTAAACAAAATCTTTTTCCTGACACAAAAATACTCGTCAATTTAAAAAAAGCACAAAACAATTTGCTTGTTTTGTCGAAGTTCTTAGACGAAGGGAAAATTTTCCTCATCTTTCCCAGTTAAGTTACTTTTACGAAAGAATGTTTTATGCAGTGCGGTGTTTGAAATTAAATGTAGATATGATCTTCGCACTTTGTTCGACAATTTAAGCAATTGTCTCATAAACCTGTAAAATTCAGGTGACTCAACGGGATCATATCTACATTTAAGTTACTTTTCTTAGACGAAGGGAAAATTTCCCTCATCTTTCTCAGTTAAGTTACTTTTCTTAGACGAAAGGAAAATTTCCTCATCTTTCTCATTAAGTTACTTTTCTTAGACGAAAATTTCCCTCCTCTTTCCCAGTAAGTTACTTTTCTTGACGAAAGGAAAATTTCCCTCATCTTTCTCAGTTAAGTTACTTTCTTAGACGAAAGGAAAATTTCCCTCCTCTTTCCCAGTAAAGTACTTTTCTTAGACGAAAGGAAAATTTCCCTCATCTTTCCAGTAAGTTACTTTTCTTAGACAGAAGGAAAATTTCCCTCATCTTTCCAGTTAAGTTACTTTTCTTGACAGAAAGGAAAATTTGCCTCCTCTTTCCCAGTTAAGTTACTTTTCTTAGACGAAAGGAAAATTTCCCTCCTCTTTCAGTAAAGTTACTTTTCTTAGACGAAAGGAAAATCCCTCATCTTTCCCAGTAAAGTTACTTTCTTGATTGAAAGGAAAATTTCCCTCATCTTTCCCAGTTAAGTTACTTTTCTTAGACGAAAGGAAAATTTGCCTCCTCTTTTCCCAGTTAAGTTACTTTTCTTAGACAAGCCCTCATCTTTCTCAGTTAAGTTACTTTTCTTAGACGAAAGGAAAATTTCCCTTCTCTTTCCCAGTCAAGTTACTTTTCTTAGACGAAGGGAAAATTTCCCTCATCTTTCCCAGTTAAGTTACTTTATCTTAATTCTAACAGAAATCTTCAAAGCTACATCGAGTACGTGTGATTAAGCTACAAGAGAGTAAAAGATTGCTGCTTTCCTCAAAGTATGTCTAGTTATAATTTCATTATGAACGAGAAGTTAGCTGGGCTGCATATGGAAAGATACTTGTGTATTTTTATAATCCAATATTCTATCTCAGTCGAGTATCTTCCTTTGCGTATCTTCACTCATCATTTTACCTACTTTCCCCCTTCCCCCTCAAGTATTGTTGTTAACAGCTCAAAGAACTGAAACGTAATCAATGTAAGCCCCAGATGAGCACAGCACATATAAATGTATGTCACAATTTGATTGGACAACCATGATTGGTCACATAGATACAAAACTTGCCTAGCTCTCATTGGTTACAAGAAAAATAGCTACTTATCCCTGGCAGTTTTCTACCAAAGCGATTCGTAAGAAGTATTTTCCCAGGCAGAGAGATGCTTGTTATACGATGTTTGTAAAGAGATTAAGAGAGTTTGGGGCGATTTCAACATGGATGTTGTTGTGTTGTTATATAATAGATTAGTCTGATTGACAAGGGTTTTTATTGACTGATAAAATACACTTTATAAATTATAATTTCCTTTTGGTAACATCATTTGCTTGCGGCAACATTTTGCTCTGAAACTTAAAACTAGGGCAGAGCAACAGATGTAAAGACCTTCTAACAGCGACATATGGGTTGTGAACTTTGTTGATGGCTCATACAGATCAACAAAATTTCTGATCAACAGGATTTTCTGAAACAGTAAAAATATTTGTTTGTAAATGTAGATCGTCCAGGTTGGTATAGTCCTGAGAAGGACTGTTTTTATTGTTGTTGACTGACGTTTCGACAACCTTAGCGGTAGTCATCTTCAGAGTCAAATAAGGAGTAAACGTCAGGTTAGCCGTATTTGTTAACTGGTTCTTACGTCAGGAAATGTGTGGGTGTCAATTGTGTATTGTCATTGTGAATTAGTGTGAAGTGCAATGTTTTTAGTTGTGATGTGTGATTTAGGTGTGATGTTTTTAGTTGTAATGTGTGGGTGTCAATGTGTATGTCATTGTGAATTAGTGTGAAGTGTAATGCTTTTAGTTGTGATGTGTGATTTAGGTGTGATGTTTTTAGTTGTAATGTGTGGGTGTCAATTGTGTATTGTCATGTGAATTAGTGTGAAGTGTAATGTTTTTAGTTGTGATGTTTTTAGTTGTAATGTGTAGGTGTCAATTGTGTATTGTCATTGTGAATTAGTGTGAAGTGTAATGCTTTTAGTTGTGATGTGTGATTTAGGTGTGATGTTTTTAGTTGTAATGTGTGGGTGTCAATTGTGTATTGTCATTGTGAATTAGTGTGAAGTGTAATGTTTTTAGTTGATCGTTTCTTTGTATTGTGAACAAGTCGTTTGTAAAGTGCCGGTAATTGTCGAAACGTCAGTCAACAACAACAAAACAGTCCTTCTCAGGACTAGAACAACCTGGACGGTTTAATTTACAAACATGTGGTTGAAAAGTTTTACTATTGTAAAATATTTTGTTTTAGTGTAATGTTTGTTCAAAAATCTTGAAAGTTCAGTGTAACTTTTATGATGTGTGATTATGATGCTAGGTAATGTATACAATGATACACGTGAATTATGAATGAATGATGATGTTTGCAGTGTACGAGAAAATCAATGAATGCTGCTAGGCAATGTGAAACGTGTCCCAATACAATTGAGCCCCAAACTATAACATGGAGATGTCCATTACAAACAGTGATACCCGGGTTCAAGCCATTTACTTTAGTAAAAATATTTGTTCAAAAAACTACTGAGCCAGCTTCACAACTATCTTAAATACATGTGGACTATGATTGTCATCAATAAATGCTAGGCAATGATACACGTGCCCAGTACCCTAATGACCCATGAAACATATATTGTACTGTAGTGTCCCTCAAAATCAAGGACGCTGCTAGGCAATGATACACGTGCCCAATACTCAATTGAACCCATGAAACATATGATGTATTGCAGTGTCCGAGAAAATCAATAAATGCTGCTAGGCAATGATACACGTGCCCAGTACCCTAATGACCCATGAAACATATGTTGTATTGCAGTGTGCCACAAAATCAAGGACGCTGCTAGGCAATGATACACGTGCCCAATACCCAACTGAACCCATGAAACATATGATGTATTGCAGTGTCCGAGAAAATCAATAAATGCTGCTAGGCAATGATACACGTGCCCAGTACCCTAATGACCCATGAAACATATGTTGTATTGCAGTGTCCCACAAAATCTTACAAACAAGGATTATCATATAAAATATTGTTTCGTTAGGTAGATCCTGTAATTCATAAAGCATTCTTTAGAAAAGTGGTCTAGTCATTGTGCATTGTGCATAATTTGATAACAATGGAACACAACATGGCCACAAGCGTCAAGGTTTATCTTTACTGTACTCGAAAGGCCACATTCAAAAAAATTTGTGTCAAATAGATCATTATGTACGATGAAGGATCATGAATCCAACATTCCGACGGTAAACATACGTGTCAAAAATACAAGATCAAACAGCAAAATTCGGACAATCAAATGGTCGGACATAGTATTATGTATGTAGAATAGTGGCAATAAAATAGAAAACAATGCTCTTGGGGCAATTTGTAAATCTTATTTTAGATTTAGCTCAGTCACAAATTTTCGGATAAATCATCAGCGCATGCGCAGTCTGCTTCAGCATGCGCAGTTAAATTGATTGGCTGCCCAAGTTCATGGTCATGGCAACGACCAATTGCATCTACTAGCCCCGATTTTGAAGTAAATAGCATGTTTAGTAACAATTTAATAGAGAAATCATCTGCGCATGCGCACGAGCATGCGCAGTCCACTCGACTAATTGTTTACATTCAAGGCAATGACTAACTATATGCTCTTGCACTATATTTGTGGCAATTATCTCACTTAGTCGCAAATTAACGAAGAAATTATCTGGGCATGCGCAGTAGTGACTTTAATAATACCGCAACTTTCGTAAGCCTCTGAATTTTTGTATATATATATAAAGCCAATATTAGGTATAGTAGATGTCAACTAGCAGTGGAAGCTGGGTGCGATATGTATGCAGTGGCTTAGGGGTCCAGACGTTTCGGGTCGCGACCGCACTCTCCCTGCGTACCCCGAGCAAAGCCTATCGCAGGTGATCTCGGGGTCTGATGGGCGGAAGCTTGCTATTGCATCTCCCAAGTAGGATAGCGTGGAGGGGCCGAAATCTCCTACCGAAACGTTAACATGCGGCGTTCTAGTGCCTTACGCTTAACAAGGTATCGGGAAGCATGGACCGAAAACGGGGTTTTTTGCTTTTGAATTTAATCTTTTTTCATCCAAGGATACTGCAATTTTTGACTTATTTAAATAATTTACACCAACTCTAAGCATATTTATACGCTTTTTACATGTTACGTGAACGAGAGCCTCCTTATACAATATAACTCTCACATCAAGAACAAAAAGCATCCATGGGATTCATGGAAAAAATGGATTATCTAACTTTTATAATAGATTTTACAAAGAAGACATTTAATAAGCAAGCAATATGTATCTTCTAAATTGAACCAAGCTTTCAACCCTTATGTTATAAAATTTTGATTCATTATGGATAGTAAATTTCTTTTTACCTTACAATATTTTCATGATTAAATCTAGAAAAGAACTTCTCTATTGTAGTAATTTTGCGATATAGTAGAACGCTTTTCGTATTCAAAGGAATTCTTTTGATTGCATATAGACAGCCGTCCAATTTATTACGTAAATGCATGTAGTATGCATTTCGTTGTAAGAAAGCACCCTACCAAAGAATATCCAGACTTAATTTTAGCTGCATCGAGCGATGAAAGTTGCAAGTCAGAGAATTTTTTTTAACTGTTATTTATATGATATTCATTATAGCTATAGTTTAAAATTCCATTTTTACGTATACAACTTGTAAATAAATCTGAAAAGCCAGTTCAAGAGAGATTTATCCATCAATAATAATAATAGTGATTAGTGATTATAAAACAACGAAACCAACATGTCATAAAACTAGCATTGCAAAAATTTGTATGGCTTGTTTTTTTTTGCGCTTCATGCATCTGGAGTCCGTCCTGGATATTCGTAAATCAGGCCGTAAAGACCCGGGAACAATCCTCAAAAAAAGTCCTTAGCCCGACAACATGCCAGTATTCGACCTTTCCTTCGAATGTTATGCTTTTTCCTAACGCAAAATAGTTCATATTTACTGTTATACCTTTTGCCTTTATAAATAATCGTTCTGTATAACTAGAATCAGATTCACAAATGCCCCAAAACTCAAAAGCATCTCCTTACCATTTTATTGCCACTATTCTACATAAATAATGCTATGTCCGAACATTTGTTCGAATTTTGTAATTTGATCTCGTATTTTTGACACGTGAGTCTACCATCGTAACGGCGGATTGACAGCGTATTGAAAAAAAAAAGGATTAGTTGATTCGTTTGATCGGTCTTTACACTTGTTACGACAGGAAATCGCCTAGCAACGACAGAATGTAAACAAATAATTTATATCAGTTTGTATCAAACGATTAATATTTGTCGAATTGTTCTAATTTCGTGGTAACTGAGAGCGTTCACGTTCTAATTTTATAAATAATAATTCGACAAGATGACAAAAGAACGGAGGAAAAAAGACGATAAAAAGTTGACGAGAGCATCTACTAAATTTCGTCTTTATCTAAATATCGACGCTACGGACGAAAGATTCGAGATAAAAAATGTTTCGGCCGACACAAAAATAAACGAGCTGAAGGTTCAGGTGGAACTTGTAGCAGGAATTCCTTATTTGTTACAACGACTACACTACTTGGACAACACAGATTTGGTCGACTCGTCTGATTTGAAGGAGAACGATATCGTTTCCGGTGGGACAATTCAGTTACGCTCGTGGAAAATATGGGAGAAATTAATTAACGTTGTAGTGAAAGGCAGTTTGGATGATCTACTGGCATTGGGATTGACAATGGATAAATCATGGCTGAATTTGGACAAAGCTTATTACAAGCATAAAGTTGAGACGGCGAAAGAAAAATTGCAAACTGCTTTATTTATTGCAGCACATCGAAGTAAAATCGATTTGGTTCGTGTTCTTTTGAATCTTGGAGCAGATGTCAATCATCAAACATCCATGGGTCGTACAGCGTTGCACATGGCTGCTTCTCAAGGAAACTCCAAATGCATTGACTTGATGTTAGAGAGAGGGGCCTCTATTGAGGTTTTTGATGTGAATGGAAAGAATCCCGTCAACATTGCAAATATGTGGGGCGAGAAAGATAGCAAAAGACATTTATTTTTAAATCAATGGCAAACTCGTGCAGCTAGGGTTAATCCAAGAAAGAGCCGTTCCTTGATGATGCATCAAAGATACGATTCGACCATACCTTCCTGGCTTAGAGGGGAATATGGACAGATATATCATGGCAGTATTATACCACCAGGTGAATATTCCGGAAGTACTCTCAGTTCACCTCTAAGAAAGCCTCCAAAACCAAGAGGGATGTGTAGGGATAGAGATGAAGGAAGAAGGATCAACAGTTCTCAAGGTCAGACTAAATTTGAGTCCTTGTTTGATGACTTCCATCAAGAAGAGGGGAATCCAGAATGTAAGTGAATAGTAAGGCATGTTTTCTAAATTCCTGTGCAATATTATGAATATTAAGAATGTATGTATGATAAGGAAGTATGTGTTTTAAAATGTTTATTTTAAAACCATGAATTAAACTTCCTTACGTGAAGATGAATTTCTTGCTTGAAGATTATTTTTTTACAAGAATTCTACTTATTTGAGTCAGAGCTAAAACAGACTACATCAACGAATAGTTGAAACCTAGTGGCTTACTTTTCTTTTATACATACATGAAGCAAAGTACAATATGCCTTTCTATTATCCAATCCAGAATAGAAATAATCATTTGGATTTATTAGAGTTTTGTAATAAATCTCTTACAGTAGTTCTTGAACAAGGAGGAAGACATTTCCGTGGGGAAAGCATTCTGTCAACTGACACAATGATAACAATCCCGCAAAGAAACAATTCAAAAATCACAGGTGATTTATAAGCATTATGTATCTTCTGCTATCTCTTGTTGCACATGGAGTTTGTATCATTTTGACTTTACATGGCTATAACAGAGTACTAGTATGTTATGCATTTGAGTTTGTTTACAAAGCATGGATTTCACTTGGTTTTGTAGGTTTTGAGTGATGAGAGGGGTACTTTTAAGGGTTAGCTATCTCTGATGCATTATCCTGTGACAAGACACCATATATCATTCGTACTTTTGATGAAAACTAAAGGCAGTTTGCCTCCTCGTGACATGAAGAGGCAAATAGAACATAGACTTGGAGCTAATGAAAACAACTTACATACGTATTAAAGTACTTACTTGTGCAGTCGTCATTTCATTCAACTTTTTTCTTTCTGACCTTTTCATTGGTATTTCAAAGCAACTCTCTGACAGAGCTGTTGCAAAAATGAACGGCAAAACTCTTCGTGAACGAGAGCATTTCATAAAATCAGTAACTGAATGTCATCCATCACGTGTACCATGCCACCATATTTGGAATTCCTGCCAAACCTTTCTTACGTCACAGACATCTCCCCCATTGCCTCCCCCTGAAAATAATCAATAAGAGAGGGATTCGTGAGCGTTTATTGTGCTTAGACGGAGGTTGGGAACTAGTCAACATGTGTTGAAAACAGAGGACTTATAGTTTTGTATCACAAATGACATACTAGATAAATATATAGTTGAACAAGTGGAAATTTTTCTCTCATGAAGAAAGAAAACACCCTTGTTTACATTTGTGTTTGTAAGGTTTAAGGTGCTCTTTTGGTGTTCGACATGATATCTGCCATACCCTCCCTGTATTTTTACAAGAAATACAAAATAATAATCAGCACATCGCAGTAATTTCATCCAGATTGAATCAAAAATAAAATAAGAAATGCCACAAATGTGTTTGGGGTGGGAGATAATATTGAGAAAATACGTATATTTATAATTCGTTTTACTAATTTTGTGTGATTTTCCAGTATTCTGTGCTTTCATTTTCCTATTTTCTTTCGACAGGTAACGATGGCTCAAGATATTGCAAGGGAGGATTTTACATAAATACTATAGTAAGATCAAGAAAACAAAACGACGTCAAAAAATCTACCGCGCCTTCTTTGCAAATAACAGAAAATGTTTTAAGAAAAGGCCGCGTTAAGACCTAGAAGTAAATTCCTAGAAACTTTCCTTATATGAATCGGCATATATTTGTATGTATATTTAATTAGAAATGACAATAGTGGTAATTGTTTCATTGAAAAAATGTCTGTATTTTTCAAGTAATGTGGACTTAACAATTAAAATCTGTTTCACAGATCTTCTTTAGCGGATTTTATGCGAAAACGAATGAAGCAAAATAAAATATTGTAAATAAAGAACAAGTAATAATAGTTAATGAAGAGGAGACGGTCGTAAGTTTAGGAAGTTTGGGCTGGACTTTATTTCGCTTTCGTGTCTGTTTTGATGATGGCTCAATGTCCAATCATGGCATCGGAATTGTTTTGATTTAATTAAAGAATACCATCTTGGGATTATTAGCTATAATGTCTCAGCTTGATATTGAGTGTCATAGATCATTTTCAGAGGAAACATATCGATAAAGTTTGGTTGTTGCAAAAGCTCGCAAATATGAATTTTGTTTCATTTATCTTTGCATCTGTCCTGTTGGTAACCTGCGTTCTTGGCGATGGCGATCATGGTAAGGTTAGCAAAGAGAAAATCTCACGGACGAACACATCTTTTATTGTTAGTCATTACCGTAGACTTCCTTGATCTGACGCCCTTAAATTTCAAGCATGATACAAGAGATTCATTAAATCAGAAAGACGCGAATTTTCGTGCTTGTCGAGTTTTGCGCAATATAAGTTTATTCCTTGTCATTAAACTGATTAAATGTGAGAATGTTGTAATATTGTACGGTCATCTGAAGGCGCATTATTGACACTATGCAATTCACAGTCGGCAGGATTGTTAGTCGTTTTGCGTTCTTTCAAAATGCGGTCGACTTGGACTTTAGTTTAATGTATTTTACAACCAGTGAGAACTGTAAGATATCAATAGAGAATAAGAAGCGACGCAGCAAGAGAAGGGTTTGCATATGTGGATTATGTTTCTAACGACATTCCACTCATTTCATCTTGAGGCATTGTTGTCCGCCGTTGTATAAGTTGGAGGAGTATCGTCTAATGTATTTTAAAAATTTGCAGGCCTGAATTTGTCTCTATAAATGGTATTCGAAAACGAGTTTCAGTGATGTTTCATAGGAGTATGCATGTCTTCACGCACGCTCGTAACGTTTTCTACATACTTCATTTACCAAATGTTTATGCTAAAACTTTTTTTTAACAATTACGTGCAACAATGTAAAGTATAATTTAATAAAACTGGAAAAAATGGGCAGACAAAATGAGAGTCACAGAACGAAAGTGGATTTCTTGCTTTCACTTTCGACTTCTTACATCCCAACGGTAAATATACTGTTTCACCAACATTAACATTCCATGTAATATAGCTTATTGTCAATAAAGCTCTCAGATTTCAACATTTGTTGAATTTGGTATTCTTAGAAAATTATAATTTCGTCGAGCTTTTGTATTTTCAAAATAGGTCTTGTCAAACACAATGAAATAACACTCAACTCAGGAGAGATAATTGACAAATAAAACAAATAGTTATTGTTAATCACAAACATAGTAGTACTTCTTTAATGTATTTTTGAAATGTGTTCTACCAAAATCTCAAGTCATAGTCAAGTGCTCAGGTGACAGCTGCTGCCTGTGTGTAGGCGTAGAAAGTCGAGTAGATAAAAATGGGCATAAGAGCGAAAATATTAGTTTGCGTTTACGGGCTTTTCCTTCTACTGCCAATAGCTTTGCTGCAATTTCATTCATGGTCTCTCGAGAGATCTCGATGATAGGAAAAAATAATCTCAATATTCGTTATGAATCATTCTTTATCGTATGAATCTTAAGAATTGCTTGATATTGAATTCATTGTTATAATTTTCAGTACCCAAAGTTTGCGTAGAAGACAAAAATGCCTGTGAAAACTCAGGAGTAAATATCACATGCGTAGCTGCAAAACCTGACTCCACCTGCCTTAATGATGTCGTTAATGGTGACGCAGACATATTTTTAGCTGTTGCTAATGAAATGGTAGCGAAAGGTGAGGAATGGTTTCGACGTTTTGTCCAAAAGATAATTCGTAGACACGCTGTGATCAAGTTAGATCATTACACAAGGAATTATATAAGCCTAAATCACACAAGAGATTATGTAAGTCTGGATGGGATTACACAAGGGACTGTATACGTGTGAATTACTTGAAGTTTCATATACAAGTCTGGATTATGTTGGAAATCATGCCAAAGACCACTTTCGTGTTTTCACATAAACCCCCGTTATTCAATATTCACATGTTGGTAAACTTGAGGGAACTTTTTATTACATAGTCGATGATCTCCAAATTGTCTATGGACACAAAGTTGATGGCGTTGATGATCCTTTCATTCAATACTACGGCTTGGCTGTCGTACAAAAAGATGCTCCATTCAACTTCAAGACGCTAAAGGGGAAAAACTCGTGCCACACCGGAGTGGGGAAAACTGTCGGATGGAATATCCCCGTTGGCAATATGTTATACAATGGGATGATGCCGTATAAGAATAATCAGTATGAATCAGTCTCCGATTTCTTTGCGAAGAGTTGTGCACCTGGTAAGAAAATTGTTCATTCTCGTGAATTTTTCTCATTTAAATAATGCTCTTCACTATTTTTGACACATTTTCACACGTAACGAGACGAGCAATGAACTCAACCAAATTACTTATTACTGTCGCTTCAGTATAATGATATACAATAAAAACTGCTTTTTATAAATCATCGTCCGAGTCATCTCAGTCGTTTAAGTTACACTACACGATTGGACAGTGAGATGCAGAGGACTGAGGCCCAGTTTACACGACCCAGGTTTATATTTAACCCGAGTCAAACTGTGAGAGGTTGTTATATTTACACGAATCCGGGCTAGAATTGATTTTTCAACCAGGGTCGGCAATTCTCAGCTCGGGCTCGCTCGAAAAAAAGCCAAGGACAAGCCAACCCGGGTTTACATGAAGAAATGAGCGCCTAGCTAACCCAGGTTGATCCGGGTCTTGCGAGTGGTGCCCCAGGGTTGTCAATTGACCCAGCTATCGTATAAACGTTAATAGGAATTCATTATTAGACAGGTTGGTGTGCCAACCCGGGCAGGCTGTCAACCCGGGTTCATGTAATTGGTGCCTGAGTCGACACGATAGATAAAACTGAGACGATTTTACGAAAACCAGGCCTAAGTCACGGATGAATTTGTTGATGTTGAGAAGAGATCCCTACGGAATAACGAAATAATATAATTTATAAGAATAACAACAAAATTAAAGAGAAATTGCAAATCAATCATGAATACGTGTTAGAGGAAGAATTGAATATTTGTTTGAAATTTATCAGTCGACCGTCTCGACCTTCGGTCCTGAGTATGCACTGATGTGCACACAGTAAACATCTTTTAGTTCTTAAATGCAATCAGGCGAAAGCATTTGTCATTATGCAAAAGTCAGACATGACAAGATAGCCACCAATATTGCCTGGTCTCAATGTAACGTTAATTTGAGGAGGACCATATTCTTATACATCGTGCTATAGCCTGGCTTATTTTTTATAAAAATGATGTTAATTTCAAAAGAAATCAGCCTGGCATAGCAGAGTACATGATTATGAGTCACTGATTTAACGTTCGATTGACGCTAGTAACCATCAAAATATAATAAAAACTTCTAGAAAATCCTTCTAGAAAATCATTTTTGATCCATCCTGTCTTAAGCATGTTGACACAAATATACAAGGACACGTTTCACGAGTTGCAGACGAATTTCTTTAATGAAACCTACTCAGTTCATGTTTTATATACGTAATAAAATAGAGACTTTGTCGTGGTGACAAATCTGAAAATCGTTTTAAAGATTGCAAATACCATGGTGAATGGTAAAAGTAATAAGTTCATAGTTCTTAAAAGAACTGTTTTAGCACAGAGCACTAACCCAATAGTTTCATAACAGTTCTTTTAGAACTATTGGTTAGTGCTTGTGCTTAAAATAGTTCTTTTAAGAACTATTAACTTATTACTTTCACCATTCACCATGGTATTTGCAATTTTTAGAACGATTTTATATAAGTTATAAAGACAAAAAAGGATCTTTAGCAGAAAAAATTTTCAACTTCAATAAAAACAACGTTCTGTACCTTATAATGCTGCCTAGTTATTTCCTGGGCCAGAGACTGGGTTGATAGCTATTGAGGTCGTGTATTATTATCAGGATTAGATTTTTGATAAAGTAGACATACTTTTAACTGTGACTTTACTCTAACGCAGGTAGTAATAGCGTCCCAAACATCAGCGATAAAGTGAAGGAAGGTCTCTGTTCTCTGTGCAAGGGCACATGCAGAAAAGACAATACTGAACCTTACCAAAACTATGAGGGTGCTTTCAAATGTATGGCCGAAGGAAAGAACGATCGCGTTGGTTTTGTTAAACAAACGACGGCAGATTTGGTCCTGAAACAGAATAAAAATACGGTAACAAAGTGACTACCAACTTCTCTGTCGTAATGGAACGAAAGCAGGTAAGTTTGGCAGAAAAAACACCGTTGTGGCTTCTTCAGGATTGATTGCTGAAATTTCTTACAATGTCCTCATGCAAATAGGAATGTTAGCCTAGATAGGAAGGCTGAAAAGACAAACACCATCAGAAATGAAAAATGAGAGTTCGAGTCATCTTCGAGATAAAGGATTCGGAGTTCTATAAAACAAATCAAGTTTTCTCTTTAAAGTTCGTATAGCTTGATTATCACACATACATAAAATGGCGATTGTTGAAACTTGATTCAAAGTATCATACTGCACTTCAATAACTTTGTTTGTTTGCAACGTGATTCAGTCACGTCCTTCCTTTGATTATTCGGTGAATATTGTAAAATGTCAGGAAGAGAAATCTTAACAAGCGATAACTTTTTATAATCTAGAGTTGGATGAATATAAGGATTGCAACATCGGTAAACGACCATCCTCCGCGATTGTTACTGGCAAAATTCGTCAGCTGAATTGATCAATAAAATACAAAACTGTTGGAAGGAGCAAATTTGACAAAGTTGCAAGATGCTGGCATAGCAAGCGAGAAAGCTGTTTTGAAAAGTTCAAATCAAGATCTGTAAAAGAATATGTTGGAGTTTATGCAAATTTCATTAATGCTCTAAATCCTCCCTCGACAAGACCTCTTAAACCAACAGCAAGTGCAACATCCATCTTCCTGTTTCACCTGCCAGTGGCTACCATTTTTGCTTTCATTTTTCATGTTTTTATTACAGCCCAGTAAATTTGAAGTAACAATCTTTTCATAGATTTAGTATTGTAATAAGTAAGAAGACAGTTTTTTTCGGCGTGCGATTTCAATGTATTATGATTTTTTAAAATAGTTAAAGAATTGCAAGCGTAAATTATATGCAATAAGCTGAGTTTTCCTCATTTCATAGTAGTTAACGTATGTATTGAGCATTTTTCTTTAATAAAGCCCAGTACAAAAACATCAAGAGGCTCTTTCACCAATTTTCAACTCATTCAAATCCCATCTTCTTCAAAGATAGTAAGATTACAAAGCTGGGTAAGTTGAGCAGAATGATGTGTATATGATTACGGACCACAAAACGTCGGAGGAGCACATCCAAATCGCTCCTGATATTGCTCCTAAATTGCACGATTTTTAAAAAAATTTGCTCGTTTTGCGCTCGCACGAGTATTTTTCTGTTCGGTTGGTGGAGTGGGCGGGCGGGCTGGGGTTGAAAGATTAAGAGCCTCAGTTGGAAGATCCCTTTTGGCTACACTGAATTACAAAACTACAGCATAACGAATAAAAGTAAAAACTGTTTCTTATAGAATTTTCCTATTCGTTGGTGTCACAGAACACGATTGTCCTATGACATTCAGAATGATACAATAGGGATGACTGAAGAGAACAGAAAGACATAAAAATACTAACACAAGTTGTATTTTATTTCATGCAATACCATTAATTTAAGTTGAATGAAATTTATGAATGCTGATCACTGTGGTCAGGTAATGTTTGATAAAATGCATTTCACAAAAAGGTACAAACTTTAACCCTTTCTGCGGCAGTGCATCATATCTGCAACAATCACGAAACGAATGGACTAGCAAATTTTGATTGAAAAAATTTGCCACTTAAAGAGTTACGTGAAACCTAAATCTCGGTGTTGTTTAGACGCAAGATTATGATTTTAGGTAGTCTGCGTCACAGAGCACTCCCCGTGTCACATGACTGTCCCCCCTCAGATTCATACGCCACTTTCATAAATCTCGTTTTCGTTCGGTTCACTGCTATACCCTCCCCCCACCATTACTTTTGATGAGATTATTCATTCATTCATTAAAGTGGGTTTTCTCCATATTTGTGTATACATGTGTTTGAAGACTTTTTTCTCTTATAAAGTCCGTTCATTTAGTATTTTGCTACCCGGAAGATAAATGTGGTTTTAATTTCATCTGGGGATTACGAAATATGGGCATTTTTGTGGTTATTGGATACCCTTTCTCAACTTGATCGAAAGCTTTTCTCAACTTGTACGAAAGATTTGATTGAAGTTTCAAAGAAAAAGAAAACAGACTGTTCAATATGAAATCTGTTTCATGTACAACAATATTTATGTTGTTGGTGACTTGTGTTCTTGCTTCTTCTCGTGGTAAGTTTTAAAGAGAGAATAATCTGACCAGACGAACATCTTGCATTGTTGTATATTGCTAAATATATGACGCCAGCCCGTCAATAAAAGATTTGAGTCAAATGAATTTTTGTACTTGTTGAAGTAAAGGTTTCTCGCCATATTAATGTACAAATCAATCAAATGTAAAATTCGTCGATAGCTAGAGCTTCGGTGTTAATTTCTTAGCGATATTTTTGTTCTGCTTTCTTATATGATACGGAAGTCGATTAAGCCTTTATCTCAATGAATTGTATAAACAAAGTCAAACACTGACAACTGTAAAACAAGACAAAAAGATAAAAAACAACGGAGTTTACAAGATAACGGTTTGCATCTATTGTGTTTCTAATAACATTTCGTTCATTTCTTTCATGAATCTTCTAATTATAGTCCATTTTAAATGTTTGGTAGGCATTTGATTTTTTAAAATTTGCAGACCTATACATGCTTGTTTCAGTAAAATGGTATATTTGGCAATGTGTTTTGATGTTATTTGGCTGAATGTAGTATATTAAATACGCGATGGTTTAGTTCATAATCCAATGAACAAATGTTTACGCTTAAAATAATTTATAACCATTCTATCCATCAAGGTAAAGTAGATCTTACAAAATAATGAATATCAGGGAATATGGACTGATAAAATGAAGGTCACAAGATGGAATTGGCTTTTTTTGCTTTCACTTTCGACAACAAACATCGCAACAATAAACATATTGTTTCACCAACAGTGACCTTCTCCATGGAATTTTCCTTATCAATATAATGTGTCAGGTTTCAACATTTCTTAAATTCGGTATTCTATGATAAGTAGGTCAAATGTCATACACAGTCAGTGGAGAGGAAAATGGACACTGATGATGAAACATGTTCATACTAGATTTTACTTTATAAAAATTACATGATTCCACAACCTCTGTTGCCTGAATATTTGCTGACGTGATAGGAAGCCTCTCAGAGTGGATTTCTTTTGAAAACAAATCCGAGTTCTTTTACTTGGTAGGAACCAAGGATTTCTCACAAAACATACATTTCTTAACCACCATTAAATTTGACATTTGATACACAGAATTAGATCAATACGAAGACGAGAACAACGGAACCATTCGTGCGCTAATACTTAATGGTAAAGAAACATTTCGTGCGATCAAAGGAATAGAAAATTTGTTGAGAAGACAGGGACAAAATGTTGGAGATATTGCAAATCGCTTTGGAACCAGACTCATTAAACCAATCGTAACAGGTCAAGAAAAATCTGATGTGATCAGAGGAATAACAAAGCTTCTGAAACTGACAAAATCTGTTGGAAAAGACAGAAACGACATCGACAAAAAAACGAAACAAAATCCGTTTAAAAATCCTGCTAAACCTAATCCTCCCTCGGCAAGTCGTAATGGACCAACAGCAAGTGCAACATCCATCTTCCTGTTTCACCAACCGGTGGCTACCATTTTTGCTTTCATCTTTCATGTTTTTATTACAGCCTAGTAAATTTGAAGTAACAATCTTTTTCATAGATTTAGTATTGTAATAAGTAAGAAGACAGTTTTTTTCGGCGTGTGACTTCAATGTATTATGATTTTTTAAAACAGTTAAAGAATTGCAAGCGTAAATTAGATGCAATAAGCTGAGTTTTCCTCATTTCATAGTACATAACGTATGTATTGAGCATTTTTCTTTAATAAAGCCCAGTACAAAAACATCAAGAGGCTCTTTCACTAATGACCAACTCATTCAAATCCCATCTTCTCCCAAGATAGTACGATTAGAAAACTGTGTAAGTTGAGAAGAATGATGTGTATATGATTACAGACCACATAACCTTGGAGGAACACATCCAAATCGCTCCTGATATTGCTCTCAAATTGCACGATTTTTAAAAATATTTGTTCGTTTTGCGCTCGCACAAGTATTTTTCTGTTGGGTTGTTGGAGTGGGCGGGGGTTGAAAGATTAAGAGCCTCAGTTGGAAAATCCCTTATGGCTACACTAAATTACAAAACTACAGCATAACGAATAAAAGTAAAAACTGTTTCATATAGAATTTTCCTATTTATCAGTGTCAAAGAACACGATTGCCTATGACACTCAGAATAATACAATATGGATAACTGAAGAGAACAGAACGACATAAAAATACCAACACAAGTTGTATTTTATTTCATGCAATACCATTAATTTAAGTTGAATGAAATTTATGAATGCTGATCACTGTGATCATGTAATGTTTGATAAAATGCACATCACAAAGAGGTACAAACTTTAACCCTTTCTGCGGCAGTGCATCATATCTGCGACAATTACAAAACGAATGGACTAGCAACTTTTGATTGAAAAAATTTGCCACTTAAAGAGTTACGTGAAACCTAAATCTTGGTTCGAGGCAAGATTATGATTTTAGGTAGTCTGCGTCACAGAGAACTCCCCGTGGCACATGATTGTCCCCCCCCCAGCGATTCATATGCCACTTTCAAAAATCTCGTTTTCGTTTGGTTCAGTGCTATACCCTCCACCACCATTACTTTTTATGAGATCATTCATTTATTCATTAAAGTAGGTTTCTCCATATGTGTGTATACTTGTGTTTGAAGATTTTTTCTCTTATAAAGTCCGTTCATTTAGTCGATGCAATTTGGTTATTATTTTGGTAAGTTGATATTTTGCTACCCGGACGATAAATGTGGTTTTAATTTCATCGGGGATTATAAAATATGGGAATTTTTGTGGTTATTGGATACCCTTTCTCAACTTGATCGTGTCCGAAAGCTTTGATTGAAGTTTCAAAGAAAAAGAAAACAGACTGTTCAATATGAATTCTGTTTCCTGTATAACAATATTTGTGTTGTTGGTGACTTGTGTTCTTGCTTCTTCTCGTGGTAAGTTTTAAAGAGAGAATAATCTGACCAGACGAACATCTTGCATTGTTATATATTGCTAAATATATGACGCAAGCACGTCAATAAAAGATTTGAGTCAAATGAATTTTTGCACTTGTTGAAGTAAAGGTTTCTCGCCATATTAATGTATAGATCAATGAAATGTAAAATTCGTTGATAGCTATAGCTTCGGTGTTAATTTCTTAGCGATATTTTTGTTCTGCTTTCTTATATGATACGGAAGTCGATTAAGCCTTTATCTCAATGAATTGTACAAACAAAGTCAAACACTGACAACTGTAAAACAAGACAAAAAGATAAAAAAACAACGGAGTTTACAAGATAACGGTTTGCATCTATTGTGTTTCTAATAACATTTCGTTCATTTCTTTCATGAATCTTCTAATTATAGTCCATTTTAAATGTTTGGTAGGCATTGCTATTTGATTTTTTTAAAATTTGCAGACCTATGCATGCTTGTTTCAGTAAAATGGTATATTTGGAAATGTGTTTGGATGTTTTATGGCTGAATGTAGTATATTAAATACACAATGGTTTAGTTCATAATCCAATGAACAAATGTTTACGCTTAAAATAATTTATAACAATTCTATCCATGAAGGTGAAGTAGATCTTACAAAATAATGAATATCAGGGAATATGGACTGATAAAATGAAGGTCACAAGATTGAATTAGCTTTTTTGCTTTCACTTTCGACAATAAACATCGCAACAGTAAACATATTGTTTCACCAACAGTGACCTTCTCCATGGAATTTTCCTCATCAGTATAATGTCTCAGGTTTCAACATTTCTTTATTTCAGTATTCTAAGATAAGTAGGTCAAATGTCATACACAGTCAGTGGAGAGGAAAATGGACACTGATGATGAAACATGTTCATACTAGATTTTACTTTATAAAAATTACATGATTCCACAACCTCTGTTGCCTGAATATTTGCTGACGTGATAGGAAGCCTCTCAGAGTGGATTTCTTTTGAAAACAAATCCGAGTTCTTTTACTTGGTAGGAACCAAGGATTTCTCACAAAACATACATTTCTTAACCACCATTAAATTTGACATTTGATACACAGAATTAGATCAATACGAAGACGAGAACAACGGAACCATTCGTGCGCTAATACTTAATGGTAAAGAAACATTTCGTGCGATCAAAGGAATAGAAAATTTGTTGAGAAGACAGGGACAAAATGTTGGAGATATTGCAAATCGCTTTGGAACCAGACTCATTAAACCAATCGTAACAGGTCAAGAAAAATCTGATGTGATCAGAGGAATAACAAAGCTTCTGAAACTGACAAAATCTGTTGGAAAAGACAGAAACGACATCGACAAAAAAACGAAACAAAATCCGTTTAAAAATCCTGCTAAACCTAATCCTCCCTCGGCAAGTCGTAATGGACCAACAGCAAGTGCAACATCCATCTTCCTGTTTCACCAACCGGTGGCTACCATTTTTGCTTTCATCTTTCATGTTTTTATTACAGCCTAGTAAATTTGAAGTAACAATCTTTTCATAGATTTAGTATTGTAATAAGTAAGAAGACAGTTTTTCGGCGTGTGACTTCAATGTATTATGATTTTTTAAAACAGTTAAAGAATTGCAAGCGTAAATTAGATGCAATAAGCTGAGTTTTCCTCATTTCATAGTACATAACGTATGTATTGAGCATTTTTCTTTAATAAAGCCCAGTACAAAAACATCAAGAGGCTCTTTCACTAATGACCAACTCATTCAAATCCCATCTTCTCCCAAGATAGTACGATTAGAAAACTGTGTAAGTTGAGAAGAATGATGTGTATATGATTACAGACCACATAACCTTGGAGGAACACATCCAAATCGCTCCTGATATTGCTCTCAAATTGCACGATTTTTAAAAATATTTGTTCGTTTTGCGCTCGCACAAGTATTTTTCTGTTGGGTTGTTGGAGTGGGCGGGCGGGGGTTGAAAGATTAAGAGCCTCAGTTGGAAAATCCCTTATGGCTACACTAAATTACAAAACTACAGCATAACGAATAAAAGTAAAAACTGTTTCATATAGAATTTTCCTATTTATCAGTGTCAAAGAACACGATTGCCTATGACACTCAGAATAATACAATATGGATAACTGAAGAGAACAGAACGACATAAAAATACCAACACAAGTTGTATTTTATTTCATGCAATACCATTAATTTAAGTTGAATGAAATTTATGAATGCTGATCACTGTGATCATGTAATGTTTGATAAAATGCACATCACAAAGAGGTACAAACTTTAACCCTTTCTGCGGCAGTGCATCATATCTGCGACAATTACAAAACGAATGGACTAGCAACTTTTGATTGAAAAAATTTGCCACTTAAAGAGTTACGTGAAACCTAAATCTTGGTTCGAGGCAAGATTATGATTTTAGGTAGTCTGCGTCACAGAGAACTCCCCGTGGCACATGATTGTCCCCCCCCCAGCGATTCATATGCCACTTTCAAAATCTCGTTTTCGTTTGGTTCAGTGCTATACCCTCCACCACCATTACTTTTTATGAGATCATTCATTTATTCATTAAAGTAGGTTTCTCCATATGTGTGTATACTTGTGTTTGAAGATTTTTTCTCTTATAAAGTCCGTTCATTTAGTCGATGCAATTTGGTTATTATTTTGGTAAGTTGATATTTTGCTACCCGGACGATAAATGTGGTTTTAATTTCATCGGGGATTATAAAATATGGGAATTTTGTGGTTATTGGATACCCTTTCTCAACTTGATCGTGTCCGAAAGCTTTGATTGAAGTTTCAAAGAAAAAGAAAACAGACTGTTCAATATGAATTCTGTTTCCTGTATAACAATATTTGTGTTGTTGGTGACTTGTGTTCTTGCTTCTTCTCGTGGTAAGTTTTAAAGAGAGAATAATCTGACCAGACGAACATCTTGCATTGTTATATATTGCTAAATATATGACGCAAGCACGTCAATAAAAGATTTGAGTCAAATGAATTTTGCACTTGTTGAAGTAAAGGTTTCTCGCCATATTAATGTATAGATCAATGAAATGTAAAATTCGTTGATAGCTATAGCTTCGGTGTTAATTTCTTAGCGATATTTTTGTTCTGCTTTCTTATATGATACGGAAGTCGATTAAGCCTTTATCTCAATGAATTGTACAAACAAAGTCAAACACTGACAACTGTAAAACAAGACAAAAAGATAAAAAAACAACGGAGTTTACAAGATAACGGTTTGCATCTATTGTGTTTCTAATAACATTTCGTTCATTTCTTTCATGAATCTTCTAATTATAGTCCATTTTAAATGTTTGGTAGGCATTGCTATTTGATTTTTTAAAATTTGCAGACCTATGCATGCTTGTTTCAGTAAAATGGTATATTTGGAAATGTGTTTGGATGTTTTATGGCTGAATGTAGTATATTAAATACACAATGGTTTAGTTCATAATCCAATGAACAAATGTTTACGCTTAAAATAATTTATAACAATTCTATCCATGAAGGTGAAGTAGATCTTACAAAATAATGAATATCAGGAATATGGACTGATAAAATGAAGGTCACAAGATTGAATTAGCTTTTTTGCTTTCACTTTCGACAATAAACATCGCAACAGTAAACATATTGTTTCACCAACAGTGACCTTCTCCATGGAATTTTCCTCATCAGTATAATGTCTCAGGTTTCAACATTTCTTTATTTCAGTATTCTAAGATAAGTAGGTCAAATGTCATACACAGTCAGTGGAGAGGAAAATGGACACTGATGATGAAACATGTTCATACTAGATTTTACTTTAGAAAAATGACATGATTCCACAACCTCTGTTGCCTGAATATTTGTTGACGTGTTAGGAAGCCTATCTGAGTGGATTTCTTTTGGAAACAAATCCGAGTTCTTTGACTTAGTAGGAACCAAGCATTTCTCACAAAACATATAATTCTTAACCACCATTAAATTCGACATTTGACACACAGAAATAGATCAATACGAGGACGAGAAGAGCGAAATCACACGTACACGAACTCTTACCGGTGAGGAAGGACATCCTGCGATGAAAGGAATGGCAAATAACTTAAGACCAACAACACTCACTGAACCAATCGTTACCTTTCAAGAAAGATCTGGAAATGATTTAAACGGCATCGACAAAAAAACGACACAAAATCCGTCTAAAAATGCTGTTGAACCAACCCGAATGACATCGACAAAGCCAACAGAAAAATCTATTGAAGCAACCAGAACAACGTCGTCAAAGCTGACAGAAAAATCTATTGAAGCAAACGGAAGAACGTCGTCACAGTCAACAGAACCTTGTTCTCTAGCATGTAGAACAACTACGACAAATTCAACAACAACTCCTCCTTTTACCAGATCAGAATCGTCAATCTTGTCTTTTGATCTTCGTATGGTTTTCATTTTAGTTTTCATCTTCGCCTTTTGATTACAGCAAAAGATCGTAGCTTTAAAGAAACAATCTTTTTCATATTGTGTAAAGAAATTTAAGGGTTTATCACACTTTGGCATTTAGTCTAGTTTCATTTTACAATAAAGTACAGCTTGCATTAGAAGCTGAATTTTCTCAACCATTTATGTATTGAGCATTTTTTATTAAAGAGTTTTCGTATGTTGCGATTGTTATAATGCCTTAAACGATAAACGTAATCTCTGGTGAGTTTTTGAGCAATGATGTGTCCATAGCAGAAACGCAATTTAATTTTGACCATTGCCATTTTCAATGATGTGTTCATAGCAGAAACGCAATTTAATTTTGACCATTGACATTTTCAATGATGTGTTCATAGCAGAAACGCAATTTAATTTTGACCATTGACATTTTCAGATTCTCACTCCTCTGAATTAAAGTAAAAATACAGAGTGAAAATTTTATGTCTATAACTTTCATTGTGTCTGAGGAAGGCTTTGAAATCGACATCTGGACAAGTTTGCAACTGCATTAAATTAACCTTTTGGTTGCGCGAACTAATTTTTCGTATGAGTTTAATCCACCTTTCCGACTGTAGACACACGTGTCAAAAATACGAGATCAAATTACATAATTCGGACAATCAAATGGCCGAACATAGTATTGTATATGTAGAGTAGTGGCAATAAATTAGCAAGAAGATTATATTGGGAAATTTGTAAATTGCAGAATGTATAAGAAAGTAAATAAAACAATTTTCCGTCAAATCAATGTGCATGTACAAAGTTACAGAGAAAATAAAAACATTTTTAGCATTTTCACGGATATTACGAGTGCCGTAACAAAGTGTTGATGAATTTGATATATGTTTGTCAAAACAAACTTAAGAAGACAAAGAGCATCCCAAAAAAATGATTGAAAACTTGCTCAGGGCATCGACAAGCACCAATTTCAAATTAATTGAGAATTAATCTGAGCATGCGTGACAAACTCCGCCAACTGTCTAAGTTCATGGTCATGGCAACGACCAACTGAATGTACTAATACAGATTATGGAGTAATTAGCTTGCTCAGTCACAATTTCATATAAATCATCTGCGCATGCGCAGTCTGCTTGAGCATGCGTAGTCGACCTGACCTGCTGCTTTAGTTCATGGTCATGGCAACGATCAGCTGCATCTACAAGCACCGAGTTTGAAGTAAATAGCAGGCTTAGTAACAATTTAATAGAGAAATCGTCTGCGCATGCGCTCGATTAATTGTTTATAGTCAAGGCAACGACTAACTATACGTACTTGCACTATATTTGTGGCAATTAGCTCACTAAGTCGCAAATTATTAAAGAAATCATCTGGGCATGCGCAGTAGTGACTTTAATAATACCACAACTTTCGTAAACCTCTGAATTTTTGTATATATATATATAAAGCCAATATTAGGCATAGTAGATGTCATCTAGCAGTGGAAGCTGGGTGTGATATGTATGCAGTGGCTTAGGAGTCCAGACGTTTCGGGTCGCGACCGCACTCTCCCTGCGTACCCCGAGCAAAGCCTATCGCAGGTGATCTCGGGGTCTGATGGGCGGAAGCTTGCTATTGCATCTCCCAAGTAGGATAGCGTGGAGGGGCCGAAATCTCCTACCGAAACGTTAACATGCGGCGTTCTAGTGCCTTACGCTTAACAAGGTATCGGGAAGCATGGACCGGAAACGGGGTTTTTTGCTTTTGAATTTAATCTTTTTTTGAAGAAGCTAGAATATCAAAGGATACTACAAAGCTTCAAAAAACTGTTTTTAAACTGTTTAAACTGTTTAACTGTTAAACTGTTTTTCAAGTGTTTTTCCTTCAAATCACATTCATAAATGTTTTTTTGTTTCGTTTATTTTGCGTTTTGCTGTTTGCTTTACGAAGTGTGTTTACATTTGACTGTAAAATTACGCGTTTTGGACCGTGATCGATTGCGGGAAAATAATGGATTGGCAAAAATGTTTCTGACCCAATCAAAGCGCGCAATTTAGCCGGAAGTGACGCTTGAAATATATAATAATTCAACACTTGATAATTCCCAAAAGTTACTGATATTCTAAATGTACTTACATTTTATTGTTGGAAAGGTGATATGTAATCCTGCAGACATCAAAATATTACCATAAACCAAAACAAAATGTTGCCATAAGGGTTAGTGACCAACAGAAAATATTATCTTTTGCAATATTTCGCTCACAATATTGAATATATTCATCTAAAATGAAAAAGAAACATTAGCAGGAGCAACAGTAGTTAATTAACGAACAGAAAAAGTAAGCAGCAGAAGAAGAACAACAACAGCAAAAGTACAAAACACACAAAGACGATATTACTTTTGTCGTTTACTCTTGATCAACTACGACGAAATTCAATAATTATTCTTCCAAGACTATATATCTAGCTTTAAAGAATTTCTGAACTGTGGTGTATGACAGTGGCGGCGGAAGATGTTTTGCATTGGGGAGGGGGAACGAGGGCTGAATAACAAAAAATGTCGTAGTAGGGGCGTGGCATTTTAACCTTTGTATTTCTTGTTGTCGAACTCACAAATTATACAATTTTTTTCTTTCTCTGCTTCGGTCCCAGACTAGTGAAAAAGCTATTTATTTTAGACTGCACCATATTGCCATTGTATTTACGCCATGTTCCAATAACAAATTTGGAGCGATATTCTTCCTATCACTAACTCACAATACTTCAAGTAAATGAAAGTCTTTCAAGCTTTCAAAATGGCTGTTAGTAATTGAGAGTCCATCTACGTCGATGATTTATACAAGATTATATTTCTACCTTTAAACAATGTCTCTACTCTTGTGTATGAGCTGTTTAATGAATCTTTGTTGTAAAAAAGCTTCGCCAATGTGGCCTGAAATAATTCAGTTTAAAATTCGCGCCGCCATTTCCGTTTTTGCTCTGCCAGGGGCTTGGGTAGTGTACGTGACGTGCGGGCGATCTTTGACGGAAACATACGGGTAAAACCGAAGTCTACGTCTACGATGAAAAACGATGATACGACCGAGCATTGTGAGCTATTGTGCTTTTTAAATGTTAATCAACGAAGACCCCTCGCGCAAATATTTTGTAATAATTTTACGCAACTAAATACTCAGTGATCTTCCCGACGTGCTGCAAAGGTAAACTGACCATACCCAATTTCCTCTAAAAACGCCCATTGATAGTTGCTTTTGAAAAAAATCACGTATTTAAAACAAAGAAAATTAAAAATTAAATAGACCAACACTCGTCGAAAGCTTTACAGCAAATGAATAAATTGAAATTCATTAAAATTGTTCTAAAACTTTCGCTCAAAGTTCTTACAATCCCATAAGAAGGGACTTGGAGTTCTTATAGAAGCCTGAAACCTGTTGTTGAGTTTATCATAATGAATAATATAGTATCTTCTTTTAACTAATCATATTGCTGACGTCACAGTCACCGTTTTCTCCATTCCTATTGGACGAAGCTGCTTATGATGAGATTCATAAATTCACCTTACATTGCCACCTAGCGCACTTGTCCAATCACACGAATAAGGACAGGATCGATTTTTTACCTCAACACAGATCCAGAAGTTTTTCAAAGAATCACAGTTCAACACAAAAGATGTATCAACAACTAGTGCCATTATTTACGCTGGTGTTTTGTTTTGCAGTCGCTGATCATCCAAGTCACCGCTACAGAGGTACGGATGAGAAATTGATAAATTATTTTAGAAAGCAGGTGTTTGAAATCGTCATCTGCTGCACTAATGAACAAACAACTTGCTGTTTATTCGCGGGGAAGTTAAAATATAACAAATGACCGAGGGTATTGAACTTCCATTGAAATAAAATTGCCATAAGTTATGTAACTATAGGGTTTTTTGGCGTGTATAAAGCGCTGAAATCTTTTGATCGATATTTGTTTCTTCAATGCATTCGATTTACAAGGCTGCAACGGAGGCCTGCTATTATAACAAAGATTTATCGTAAACTTGAACAGGGCCAAACAATCGAGTAACTTCTGGAAGTGCATCGTTCGAATACAATAAACAAATGCATCCGGTCTTTCTTTTACCAACCGATATTGGATATCTCTGATTTCGTTTTCTGAAATTCCACGTTGGAAACACATCATTTTCGTTGAAGCCACGGTTTTATCTTTCCTCATTAATCGAAAATATTAATTTTGCGAGTTGTGATAAAGATTTTGAATAAGATCCAAGTTAACTAAATACGAGCGGATGGTTTGTAGACTTAAAGACTGCGTATCTTGGGACGCCCACAACACGTGCAGTAAATCACACGTAATATTATAAGCTTGAAAAATGAAATTTGCCAATGTTTTATTTGAAAGAAAAGAAACGAATATATCGGTACACGAACGTTGCGCGAAAAGAAAGTAAATTCACATGAATCATCGATTTTGAAATCAGCAATAACATTCATTATGAGTCATTAACCACACCATTTCCGGACGGACTTGGAGAATTTTCCAAAATCCAATTTTTCCCCTTCTAATTGCAACTGAAGGCATTTAAATTGTATGCTTCAACTTAAAATACTTCAAACTAGTCACAGTTCCTAAAAAACCCTCTGCGTATTGTGTGAACTTGGTAAAAACACCAAATATACTAATGCATTTTCATTTAGTAATTTGAATGTTAAAAAGCAATATCAACAAATCAATATCACACAAAAACATATTTGTTCAAAGCAAGATTGTGCAGTTCCGTCTTTACTAAAAGATCATACTTTTTCAAACAGACTCCGCCATTTTCATCTTATACAAGCTTTAAGTAGGAAATAACGAGCCCAGTTGAAAATGTTATTCTGCTCAAGACATGTGCTTATAACAGACTCTACAGTTCCCATTTAAGTGTCAAAGATCGCGGGGCGTGCTCGTAGTGTGTTTGTGAGAAGAAGATTTTTCAAAAGATTATATGAGAGCTTGAATAAAGAAGAAAATGCAGAGTCCATACCTAAGTAGAAGTTTTTAGCAAGGAAGGTTTTCGAATTTTGCTTTTACATCGCGTCCTCAATAAAGACTCTTTGTGAGCTGTAAAATCATCCACAAACAAGTACTCGGCAATTGGTTTTGAAGCCAAAACGACAGCCAGCCCCAAAGTATTTCTTTTTTCTTTCGTAAACACGTGAGCAGATTATCTTTATTTCTTTCGAAATTGATTGTCTTGTGAATAGTAAATGAAATACTCTTAAAGGATTAAATACATAAGTTGGCCACGCTGCTGTGAAACAAGCCAAACCAAGTAGCTATAAAGCATGTACAGTAGGTGTTTTATGTGGATAGATATGAAAGCATGTCACGTGGCTATGTGTCACGTGGTTATGTGATACGTGGTTGTGTGTCACGTGGTTATGTGTTGCATTTTAAAATAAACTCACTTACTAAAAACGTCGAGTTCAGTCTTCACAGAATGCAATGCTAAAATTTTAACTTTTTCCATGTAGTTTGTGTCAACGACGTAGCTGCATGTTCAAACGCCAATCTAACTATAAATGTCACTTGTCAAGAAGCAACATCCGGTTCGTCTTGCGTTAAAGATGTTGTAGACGGTCGCGCAAATATAACATTGGCCTCAGCTGATGACATGGTTAAATATGGTAAGACTTATATGCATGGACATACCATCCAATAAAAAGACAAGATGTATAAAGTTGCTGAATATAAAATGATCCAAACTTTAATGGCCAATTCCAAAACATTTTTTTTTCTTTTGCAGCATACAATCTCCAAATTGTGTACGGTCAAAACATCAGCGGTGTTGACGAGAATTTCATTCAGTATTACGGTTTGGCTGTCGTAAAGAAAAACACAACTTTCAATTTCACCTCCCTGCGGAATAAAAAATCCTGCCATACCGGTGTAGGAAAAACTGTCGGTTGGAAAATCCCTGTTGGCAGGATGATATACAATAAAATAATGACATATACAGAGAGTCAGTATAAATCTGCTTCCGAGTTCTTTGGTGAAAGTTGTGCACCAGGTAAGAACGGTTGTTGTTACTTTATGTTGGTGACGTTAATTTTTTCGTACAGGTAACCACAATGGCGTTATAAATTATTCCAGTGTATTCATGGGGGTGCGTGGAGCGAAGAATTTCTTTCTTAGAGGATTTAACCAATACTGTCAAATAAAATTGCAATATCACTTATTTCTAACACAGTTTTAGCAATAAGTGATATTGAAAATATATGAAAATGTCAAAAATGCGCATCGCATGACGGACATGTAATCAAGGAGTCTATTTTAACATAATGTAATTTTTCAATAGAGGCATTTAGGGTGCGACAACCCTTCCCCCTCCTTAGGGTACGGTAATCCACCCCCTCCTTTGGGTGTGGCAGCCCCTCCACCCGAAATTAGGCTAGACTTTTGAGTGTGGATATACACTACTGAAACATTGGAGTAGCAAATCAATTTCAAAGTATGGTACACAATTCTCTTTCTAAACAAGTCATGATTTACTAATTGTTTTACTTGTTAAAGCTAATTTGTCGATTAAAAAGGAGAACTCACCGTAGATCGGTAAATGTCTTCGTCTTTGAAAGCTCGCGCATGCGTGTTTCTTCAAATATTGCGTAATAACGTTGAAAACATATAAGACGAAATTATTAGAATCTTGAGGTATTTAAAGCGACCATTCAAAAGTTGGCCAACAGGCTTTAGAGCACTAGCAAACGTCATTGTCAAAATAATCCAGATCGACACGGATATTTTGCAAGGAAATCTCTTATCCACGAGCTTAGATAAATATGTTACAGAATAACATGTCACTATTGCTTTGTCGTCTTTGTTGGTGATGTATCAAATACATTGATATCCATATTTATACATTGATATCCATATTTAGGTATTAATGGCATCTCTGGAGTCAGTGACGCAGTGAGAGAGATCTTTGCTCTTTGTGTAACGGAACATGCGCACAAAACTCAACAGAGCCATACTACAACTACGAGGGAGCATTCAAATGTATGGCTGATGGTAACAATGATCGCGTTGGTTTTGTAAAAGAGACAACAGCTGCAGAATTTTTAAATAAATCTCTCAATTATGGAGTACTCGGAGACTATAAACTACTTTGTCCAAATGGATCTACAGCTGGTAAGTTTTGTAAGGTGATAGTGGTATCTAGACTACTGGCACTTGAACTTTTAAAACTGACTAACTGACATTAATCTGGGTGTCTAAAGATGTGATGAATGTTTACTGCTAGGAAGGGCTTCTCACGATAAAATGTTTGTTTCATTTCAAATAGCTTTGAATCAATACAAAACCTGCAACCTTGGTACAAGACCCGCTTACGCCATTGTTACCGGCAAATCAACATCATCTGACGGAATTATGCATATCCAAAGCATGCTGGAAGGAGCTGATTTCAGTAAGTTAAAGACAGCAGGAATAGTTAGCGACAAGGCAGAATCGTTGGCCAAGTATTCCAATACATCTGTTAAAGAGTACGTTGGATCATATGGAAATTACTATAATGGTCTCTATGGCAGTACTAAAGGTATGCTAGTTAACAAACCCGTCTTCAGCTCTCGTCAGCACGCATGGTTTACTTCAATTGACAAAATTAAGTATATTTGCGGTGTATGAGTCCGCCTTTATTCACATGAAAGTTTGGTTTAATAACTTGTTTTGCATTAAAATAGTTACGATTTGCTAACGCGAGGGTCAGTGGTGTCTCACAATGATATTAATCGCAATATTTAAAGACACAATTTCTGTTGCATGACCAACTGTTAGACTTAAGCAGAAATCCTCTTCACTTTCTTTCATTTTACTTGATTTCATCGATTTGTAAAACTTTGTACGAAATTGATTACTTGTTCAACACAATCAATTCTACTCCAGTTATTTACAGACCAGAACAACGATGAGTGACGTCATACGTAGAATTTTCATCTGGCTGATCTTTCCCGCTATAGGTATTTATAAAGTTTGCGTGAGCGATGTATCTGCGTGTGGGAACGCAAGCTTGCCAAATGTGACATGCGTAGCAGCAAGATACGGTTCATCATGTGTGAAAGATGTTATAGATGAACGAGCCCACATGACTTTGGCTGCTGCTGACTCGTTGGTTCAAAATGGTAAGAAATATTTGCGTGATAGACGAAAAGTATTTGAATACGAATACGTGGAAACAATTGACTTACTGATATTCAAAGTAGCTGTAAAAGGTGTTCAATTTTGATATCATGTGGACGCTAGACTGTCCAGAGTACGATATAAGAACTCTAGATAAAGCAATAGAACACTCTCATGAAAACATTAAACTGGGGTAAATGCGGACTAAATTTCAACATCAGATCACTACACATGAAGACACTATACACTGGAGTATATAAGGACTCAAATTTTAACATCAAATCATTCCTGACGAAGATACTAGACAAGAGTATATAAGGATTAAATTTCAACATCAGGTCACTCCTGATGAAAACATTAGACAGGAGTATATAACGACTCAAGATTCAACATCAGATCACTCCTGATGAAGACACTAGACTGGAGTATATAAGGACTCGTGTTTCAACACCAGATTACTCCTGATGAAGACATTAGACTAGAGAATATAAGCACTGAAGACTCCATTTTCAACAACAGATCACTCATAATGAATATAGTAAAGAAATCTTTACAAGTGTATAAAACAACCCGCGTTTCACCAAAGATAACTAGGCCATCATCATTCACTGATCTATAACGTACGCAAAGACTCCGTATTCAAATGTTGAATAGCACCATACCACTCAAAAATTAAAATAAAGTAAAAGGACATAGGCGTGCAAACATGACCCAGGTTTCATTAGATTTCATGTTTTAACTGTATGTAACAATTTTTAATTTATATTTTCCCTTCTTCAGCTGAAAATCTCCAAATTATTTACGGTCAAAAAATCAATGGAGTTTACGACAACTTTACTCAATATTACGGTTTGGCTGTCGTGAAGAAAGATACCACTTTCAATTTCACCTCTCTGCAAAATCAAAAATCCTGCCATACTGGTGTAGGAAAAACTGTCGGTTGGAAAATCCCTGTTGGCAGTATGATATTCACCAAAATGATGCCTTATACATTGAGTCAGTATAGATCTGCTTCAGTTTCTTTGGTCAAAGTTGCGCACCTGGTAAGATATCTTTTTTATTTACTAATTCAAAAAAAGTTTGTAGGAAATGACCTTCTTTGAAGCGAGATTGTTTAGATTTCGCCAACCCCATGTAAATGTACAGGTAAGCTAGCCTTTGGGCGAAGATACTGTATGTTACTTGAAGTAATGTTAAACTATTACAACGTTCAGCAACTCCGCTGTAAACGACAATCGCACACTCACAAAACAAAGTGACGATGTGCTTTGCTTAAAGGAAACTGCTGAACAAAAACTACCGTCACAGCAATTGTGCATTCAAATTTCAAATTTAACAACTTAAAAACAGTCCATGTTCTGTTCTGTTCATGATCACACGAAGAAGAAAAAATCTGACTGCAATGCCCCGCAACCTCTAAGAATTAATCATCGTTGTATTTTTGTCGATTAAAATAACAAAAAAGTATTTTGCATTTACAACCTTTTTTTACGCGATGCATTCCGTAAAATGTTTCACACCGACAAGAATATTACAAAACAGAACTTTTTTCGTTAAAAATTTTATAACTAACTAGAACTATTACTCTTTAATCATTGAGATTTATTACCATTCACGTACATTGAAATCAACATTTAGGTATTAATGGCATCTAGTCAGTGACGCAGTGAAGGCAGATCTTTGCTCTTTGTGTAACGGAACGTGCGCTAAAACTCTACTGAGCCATACCTATATGGGAGCTTTCAAATGTATGGCTGATGGTAACAATGATCGCGTTGGTTTTGTAAAGGAAACGACAGCTCGCGACTTTTTTAAGAAATATTCTAATTATGGAGTACTTGGAGACTATAAACTCCTTTGCCCAGATGGAACTACAGCTGGTAAGTTTTGAAAAATATCTCCATCTGGGATGTTTGAAAACAAAGAAAGCATATTTCTTATCTAAAGTAAAATGCAGCAAGTCCAGAATAACATGGATTCGTATGCTTTTCATACGTTAAACCCTTCCAGTCAAAAGGAACACGAAGATTGGATCAACTGAATCCGAAAATAAATAAAACAAATGAACTAACGCTTGTTCGTTTGTGTATGTTTTATTAGAGATTGCCACAGAGAGTGGCAAAAAAGTCCATCAGTTTCTTTTTTTTACTAACAACAGTTCGTTTCATCTTGTAGGTTTGAATAATTACAAAAACTGTTACATCGGAACAAGACCAGCCCACGCCATTGTCACAGGCAAATCAACATCCTCTGCAATGATTACACAACTTCAAACCATGTTGGAGCGCTGAACTCAATAAGTTAAGGGCAGCTGGAATAGTACACAAAGATATCGAAAGATTGGTGAGGTATACTGGTGAATCTGTCAAAGATTATGTTGGATCGTACGGAAATTATTACAATGGTCTTAGTGGACGTACAGGTATAAGAATAAATAACAAACTGAAAAGTTTTTTAATGGTAACTTAGTGGAAAGATCTAAAAAATCTAAAGGATAAAAGGTTAATCCATCCACTAAGTTTCATATCGTGATATGGTATAAATAGACAGTGGGATAGAATTTACCTACGAACGTTCACGTTTGTTTGAATAAATATTGATATAAGAAGCACGCGCAAATGAAGATCTAACACAATCCAAGGGTAATCTAATTGTCAATAGCACCCCCCTGTGTTAGCTGTTTCATAGAACGTCTTGGACAGTAAAATCTAGAACTTTCTTTGTTTAGCTTTCTTTACTGCCTGTGTCAGCGACGTATCTGCCTGTAGAAATGCAGGATTGACAAATGTGACGTGCGTAGGAGCAACATCTGGTTCAACTTGCGCGAAAGACGTTACAGAAGGTCGCGCCCACATGACTTTGGCGTCAGCGGATTCGATGGTTCAAAATGGTAAGAGCTTCCATTTTACACACCATGAACTTACAAAGTGTAGTATTTCGAGAGAAAATATTTTCTTTTTAATTCGTGAACTATTTTAAAATTGCAGTTACGATATTGGAATTGTTCTCCACAAAGGGACACGTTCCATTAGCATTTAATCGCATGCAAAACTTTTACAACATATATTAATTTCTTCAGCTGAGAATCTCCAAATTGTGTACGGACAAAATATCACTGGGGTTGACAGGAATTTTATTCAATACTACGGTTTGGCTGTCGTGGAGAAAAATACAACTTTCAATTTCAAGTCTCTGGAGAGTCAAAATCCTGCCATACTGGTGTAGGAAAAACTGTCGGTTGGAAAATTCCGATTGGTTACATGCTCTTTCATAAAATAATGACGTACACAGACAACCAGTATAAATCTGCTTCGGATTTCTTTGGTCAAAGTTGTGCTCCTGGTAAGATATCTTTTTCATTTATCATATAATAAAAAATATTCTCAGATGGTCTTGCAACACGACATTTTTAGTAAGGCAAAGCTATATAAAGGTGTGCATACATTTGCTTGGGCTATGTAATAAGTTTCTTACATGACGTAACGTGAATCTACGACTGCTGTACAAACATTTTGTCGATATTGCCATTATGTAATGAGTACATGAAACAACGCGACGATAACTAATATTTCAACTTTATGAAAAAATCGTCATGTTTGTATTCGTTGATTAAATTGGCAAACAATATTTGGCATTTGTTAACATTTTGATGTAATGTAAGTAGCAAATTTTTCCCCTTTCCCACAACTGTGCAAACCATTGCAAACACTTTTGAGCAAGATACCCCACTTGTAGGTATTAAAGCTATCACGGATGTAAGCGAGGCAGTGAAGACAGATCTCTGCTCATTGTGTAGCGGTACATGCGCAAAAGATTCATCGGAGCCATACTATGGTTATATGGGAGCTTTCAAATGTATGGCTGATGGTAACAATGATCGCGTTGGTTTTGTAAAGGAAACGACAGCTAGCGACTTTTTAAAGAAATATTCCAATTATGGAGTACTTGGAGACTATAAACTACTTTGCCCAGATGGAACTACAGCTGGTAAGTTGAATAACATTGAATTATAAAGAAAATGCGTTCATTCTTTAACATTATTCACTAGCTTTTCTCATCGAGTTGTGATTCTTCGTAGCGCAGAAAAAATTGAAAATTACCAAACAGAGACTTAATAACATTTGTCGTAGTGAAAAGTGTTTATATTGAAAAGCATATTGACGACAATGCGTAACTTAAGCCTGGGTAGTTATGAAAAGAACTGTCTATACAAAAAGACTAAACACTCAAAACAACATTCACAAGAATTTACAGTGTCATTTTTCATAACTACATTGCATAATTCTGTGGTTGTATAATGCGCTGAATTCCGTGGGTATTCAAACAACAGCTCATACACTTAACTACTCGTTTGGAAATCAGTAATTTTGACGTTCTACGATATTTTTTGCTTGTGCAAAGATTTATTCTCACATTGTATTTTAAAACCCGCGTGACCATGGTTAAAACAATCGTCAAGGTTATCACGGAGATATTCCACAAAGACCTTGTTCTTAAACAATGTGATACCTCACTCTGCAAACGGAGTGACTAATAAAAGACGTCTAGTAAAAGAAAAGTTGTATAGCTTTTATCATTTTGTATCAACCATATATCCTATCAGTTTCTTTTATGTTTCTGTTATGTTATGTAACCTTAGAAAGACTAACAACGACAGTTCGTTTTATTCCAAACAGCTTTAACTGAATTCGAAGAATGCCACATCGGAACAAGACCAGCTTTCGCCATTGTTACTGGTAAATCAACAACCTCGACTACGATAACGCAAATCCAAAGCATGTTGGAAGGAGCTGATCTCAATAAATTAAAGGCAGCTGGAATAGTAAGCAAAGATGCAGAGTCGTTGGCCAAGTATACTGGTGGATCTGTTGAAGATTACGTTGGATCATATAGAAATTATTACAATAGTCTTACTCGAGCTCAAAAAGCAAACGCAGCGCCATCTTTGATGCTGTCATTTGCTTTGCAAATCACCGCCATTTTGGTTTTCTGGCTCGTGGCTTAAATCACGCAGCTACTAGTCTACAATTCAGTGTTCTTATGAAGTAACCTGAACATTAATTTATCATTGTTCAAAAAATACAAAAAACAAAACCTACTTAATTCATACGCCATAAAATATATGTTGTAGGAAATATATTTTAAGTTTAAAAAACATCGTAATCCATTATACACCAAAGTATAAGAGCTCTATGCATTATCTTATTGTATGCAATTTCTTATAACAATACGCTTGAACTAATCTTTAATTATATTTAACTATTTTAAGACTTTTGTGACCGTTGTTGAATTTGTATTAGTCCTTAAAATAGTACCTATATAGCGCTTGCATGTTCACGTTAAGTCAACTTTATTGCTTTCTTTGAGCAACCTTACAGATATAGAATAGGAATTTAATTGACCAAAACGCTACATTTTCTATCTAAGAAATAAAAGATGTTTACTTTGTTTCCACCGGTTTTATTTAAACCGAGAAGACCTTTGGGAGAACTCAATGATCCTGAGATAAAAGTATGTTTGTAGTATTTTAAAGTAAATGGTTTGAACCCGGGAGTATCGTTACATGTTTGTAAATGTAGATCGTCCAGGTTGGTATAGTCCTGAGAAGGCCTGTTTTTGTTGGTGTTGACTGACGTTTCGACAACCTTAGCGGTAGTCATCTTCAGAGTCAAAAAAATTTTTGACTCTGGGCCATTCAGCGATATAAATTGGCAAACGATTGAGATAGATGATAACCCAAGTTTTAGACTGAGTATTTTACGTATGGTCGCTTTATTTATGGAATGCTCGCCATGTTGGATGAAATCTTCTTCGTAAGTAAGGAGAATACTTTGTTAAAATCATCCAACATGGCGGCTATGACGTACTTGCACACCAAGAACGTAACTTATCACAGTGTGAAAAGGAGAGCCAGCGGCGAATCAGCGATAATAGTATGCTATTTTATAAGGAGTTTTTACAATTTTCCAGTGGAATAAATGATACAAAACGTGGCTCTGTAAGCCTAAGTATTTATAGATCAAATAAAAAATAGTGATAAACGTACCTTTTGCCCTTACTTTGTAAATATTCTGGCATTCACTGACTGTAAAAACAACCAATTTCTAAAGACATGAATAATGACAATGATTCAATACCATTCTATATATTAATTATATACGAGTAACTGCATCAATAATTATATAGCTATATAAACGGCATTACTGAAATACATTTTACAGAAATTGCTAAACAAAACTCATAACTATTAAAAGCTAATAACAAAACACACTAAATCATAGCAATGTAATCAATATATACATTGTCAATGTTTAAAGTTCAAAGAATATTATGACTATGACGACTGGTGTTGGTCATTAATAAACCCTTAATAACCGAGCTCGAAGCCTTTATGGAGAAATAAAGGACCGAAGTTTTTTCGTCCTTGCTGTTTTTTTACCGGTTGGCTTTAACTTTTCTAGTTCTCGTCCATAAAAAATAAATCGCTTCAAATTGTATCGTCTGGAAAGTTAAACTGTTTTCCAAGTGTTTTTCCTTCGAATCACATTCGTAAATGGTTTTTTCTTTCGTTTATTTTGCATTTTGCTGTTTGCATTACGAAGTGTGTTTACAATTGACTGTAAAATTACGCGTTTTGACCGTAGTCGATTACGGGAAAATAATGGATCGGCAAAAATGTTTCTGACCCAATAAAAGCGCGCCATTTTGCCGGAAGTGACGTTTGCCATATAATTAGGTTTTCTATGTAACATGTGGGCTTATGATTGGAAATGACAATGGGTAATGTCAGTTATAAACTGATGTTTAATCTCGCAAAGATAAAAAGTATATCGCAATTTGAAAAAATGTGGAAACATGTAAGTTTGCAACAACGTGATGACATTTTAGCATTCCGCCCTCTCAACTGACGATTTCTTTTAACACAAAAAAGCAGTTTTCAAGAACTTATGATTTGATATAATGAGTAAATTAAACACTTAGTGAAATGAAGACGAAGCAATATGCCTATTTTACCAACAACCTAAGTGTGTATATCTTTATTTACATGCTGAGGACTGGGGTCTAATATCTCAATTGCTATGGCAACCACATTCGGCTAACATGGTCAATTTGGTCATGGATGGCCGTGGTATGTAGACGGCAGACCACCATAGACATTACAGACAACCACATAGTCCAGTGTCTACATAATCTTTCATTATTTATTTCAATTTTTCAACAACCAGCATTTCGAAGCAAGAAGATAAATGATCAGAAGTAATTATAAAATATAAACAATAAAACGCGTGCGGTGATTGGTCTAGAACCGTGTTTGCATTAGCCTGTGCAAAACACATCTGAGCTCAACCAGTCAAATCAATCAAAACAATCTATCAGTCAAAGAGAATTTGCAAATCGATCATGAATACATTTTAGAAGAAAATTTAAAATGTTTGTCTTTTTCGCATTATTGTTATTTTATAAAAGAAATAAAAGATGTTTTTCGTGTTTCACTGGCTTATGCAAACCTCGGAGACGTTTGTGAGAACTCTCGAGCATGTGCAAACCTTGACCTTCGGTCTCGGGCTTGCACTGATCTGCTCTCGAGTTCTCCCAAAGGTCTCCTCGGTTTGCATAAGCCTGTGCAAACACAGTAAATATCTTTCATTTCTTAAATACTGAATGGACGCCAAACCTAATGTTATATAAATTCAGATGTATCTGTGTGATGCAGAATATGTCAAGCTTGTTCGTGTCGGTAAATATCCAAGCACATTGATCCTTAACAAAATATGCTTGTCCGAATTCGCTACCTATAATTTGATAGCTTATTAAAATACAAAATGCTCTATTTCAAATGCCATCCTTAAACGCACAAAAAGATTTTTGTACAAAATTATCTGATTAACGATTTGTTATTTGTATGTTTGTTTTTTATTTGTATGTATTGTTTGCTTCGGTTCGTCTATTTTAAAGTTGGATGTTTACGGAATATTTTTCTATTTGTAAATACGTCTAAGTTATTACATTCATTTTTTTGAAATTATTTTTACTAATTTTACAACGCAATTATTCGCAATCTTGACTTAACTGTTTGTAAGTTAGTTCAATTTTATCACCATTTTGTAAACAATGCTTGAAAGTAATGCATAAAGTTCAGAGGTTGTATTGAAACGTTGCAAAATGAAAATTAGTATCGCTTTTTTCTTTTCTAAATTGTTTTTTAAAAACTTTATTGTCAAAACCAGTTATCCAAAACTTTAAAATTGGAGATCATTTGAGATAGCTCATTGCATTCTATATTTTAAGCACGTCTTTATCTACACAAAAGTTCTTTGTCGATCAACGTGCAAGGAACACAATGCATACTGATGAGTTATCACACAGTGTATTGGAAAGAATACTTTTAATAAAAACTGGTACTTGAAGAGCCTCAAAGCCTTGAAGGGACCTTAGTCATTCGAAGGGATGAAATCTATTGTATTTTGTCTATGTGAAAAGAAATGAAGCACTTCATAAATCTTTAGCAATGCAACCAGCCAAAATATTGCACAACCTGTTCCGCTGGAGTAATACAAAATACGGCTGAGGTAAAAATAACCTTACCCGGGTCGACTTTAAAACAGATTTGAATTAAACAATCACATTTTTTGGATATTTTGCCTTTTATGCGTTTCTGATAAGGCCAATTTTCGTTTCACAACGAGAAAGATAAGAAGAATATTAAAGACAAAAATTTTTCGGTTATTTCGACTTCACAACTCTACCAAACTCGATTCACAAATTCAAATAAATATTCCCTCTCGAAAGCGTTGTACAAACTAGCTTCAGTCAACCAACTGAACTTCTATCAGAAGCGAAATTGACGAGCTTAGTTCAATAAATTAGAAATACTATAAGAGCCTTGGGTCAGGTTAAGTTTGATCCGCCCCTGGTTATGTATTGAAGAATTTGTTTTATCAAATCAATGCATTCATTCACATTTATCAACTGAACTTCGTCACGCGATGTACATACAGATGGCAGTAATTTTTACAGAAACGGGAAAAGTCGGGCAAATTTAGACGAAAAATAGCGAAGACTGGGGAAATTTTAAGATAGGGCGAAAATGTAACAAAATTCACGCAAAACGTTGTGTGATTTGAAGTTTTAGTTAGACAATTTCAATGTCCGCTTCAGCTCCCCACTCCCCCTCGCCACTCACCCTCTCCCCCCCAAAAAAATTCTGTTTATACACTGTTATATCGACGGTATTTTCGATCTCCAGAGGGGTGTGTAGGGTGTTAAAATGGTTCGAGTTCATTGCAATGGAAACGACTAGATTAAATTTTAGTTTCAACCAATAGTAGTGTTACGGTCAGCATTATCTCCATTCCTATTGGATAAAACTAGCTTGTAAAGAAGCTCATAAATTACACTATCAATTGGTGTGGCATTAGTGTAATCACACGAATAGAGATAGGATAAACTTCTACACTAACACAGAACCAAAAGTTCTTGAAAGAAACATTCCTCGTCATACATGATGTATGTACAACTAGTAGCCTTAGCTACACTGGTGATTTGCTTTGTGGTCGATGCTCACATGGGTCTTTCGTACAAAGGTAAAGTAGAGAAATTGATAAATCATCAGAGAAACCAGGTGTTCGAAATCACTACTTGATGTATGTAAGAAGTAAGAGATAGAAAAACGATGATTTTTTCTTCATACAAAGATAGGATAAATGTAAAAATTGACCTCGTATCTCGAGCAAAATTGAACTCACGCCTTTTATCTCAGCTGCGTCAAGCAGCGGCAGAACTATTGTCCGTCAAAATAAATTATATCTCCTCAATTTTAAATTTAAATTACAGTCAGAAAAAAACTATTGGTTTTTAATTTCTAAAGAATATAAGTTTGCGAATGAATTTGCCTCTAAAATGTTTAGAAATGTAAATATACTCCATAATGTGCTGCGGTAATTTATTTTGACGTACTCTGGAGCAGTCACAGGCGTCAACAGTAATTGCCACATACAGAGTGCATTATAGGTGCTTACCTGCCGCATAAATAGCGCCGAAAGTCTTTGATGATTTTCATTCGTCGGTATTTCTGTACACCAAATGTATATTGCATCTATAACAAGAGACGTGGGGGCTCAAACAAATATTTGTTGTAAAAATTGAACGATGCCAACAACATCCTCGCAAATGAATATATGGCGATGAAATGAAATCAATTAATAAACAGAGTATAATAATGATAATCAACGCCACTGAATCTATCGTTGAGACTTTAACGATGTGTG